CCATTGATCATGATAGCCAGGTTTAGCTAAGTGCATCCCCCTTTGGGAGCTGTCCTAGGAAACCTTAAATCAGCCTGCATGAATAGTTTCTCTGTGGCTGCACCACAGAGATGAACAGAGAAATGGGGCCTCATTTGGGAAGCTCAGAAACACTTAATTCTGCCTTATTAATAAGCCTCGCCGCTACAACTGTAATCATCCAGATGAGCTCTGCATGGTGGATGAAATGGGCTCCCTCCTTTGTAAAGCACTTTGAGATTTTTAGATATGAAAATTTCTATAGAAATGCAAGGAAGTAATCATTATTGTTATTTAAATTTACTGAGGTTTCAGGATCATATCTCATTATGTGGTTCTACATATCGTACACAGCTACTACATCCTCAAAACAATAACTTTTTTTCTTCTTACCTGCAGGTGTAGAACATGTCAGTATCCAATTAAACTTGGAGGCTCTTTTTCAATTCAGTCACCTTGTTCTGACATTCAAGGTATTGTTGTGTTTTTACATAAAAGGTACTGTACAAAAGTATCAGACTCCAGGACGCAAAAATTAGTATTTGCTCATTAAAAAAAACTTCTTAAAGCATTTATAAACTAATGGAGTATATATGGATTTATATATATGTCTATATTTTATTTGTAGAAATTTGGAATGTTTCAATGATTGCTTAATGATGGACTGGCATCCCTTCCAGAGTTATCCTACCTTGCATACTTTATTCCCCGCATGATCCTGAATTGACTTGCTTGCTATTTGATGTCACTTGCTACTTGATACTATCTGACTGCTGGAGAAACACGAGCTACAGAATCTCGGACCACATGATAGCATGATTTCAGAATTCATATAAGAACCACTGGCCTTTTGCACTGCCAGTCAGGGTTCTATTCACAGTCCTGACTGCCCTACTTTCCTTAAATAATAACCTTGTTCTCATCACAGAGTATTTTCCCCAATTCCTAACAGACTTTTCGACCTGCTGCTATGCTAGTTGAGAGGTCAAAAGACAATGGGAGAACCTGGAAGGTGTTCAGATATTTTGCCCAGGACTGTAAGGCCTCATTTCCCTCAGTCCCAGAAGGCCCATCTGATAATCTAGAAGACGTCATCTGTGATTCAAGATACTCTGGAACTGAGCCATCCACTGATGGGGAGGTAGGCTATTGACCTGCAAAACGTGATCATATACATTTATGCAACTTAACCTCAGTCATTTAAAAAATTCTTCATGTGAATGGGGTTAAAGATTTAAAGTTAAAGAGAAGGCAAGACCTTCCATTTGTTTTTTGTGTAAATACTGTAGACAATTGTCACACAAAAATGTTACTCCAAGCAGTCTTAGCACTTTACAATAACTTGACTTTGTGCAATTAAGGTCTAAAATTATGCATTATCTATAATAAAAGAGCAAATGCAATAAACGAAATACAACACTCAAAACTTAAAGATGGGATGAAACAATTTAAACTTAGTTATTGAACCACATTACAAAGGATGAAAAAATCCTGACTGATTTTCAATAGGAAACATGACTCCCCTAAGTATTAATAATCTGGCAGCACTTATACATGCCAATGAAGAGAGCTGGCAAAAGAATAGCCCAGTCACTGTTGTCTCTTATTTATGGCATTGTAAAGCTGGTCCCACAGATGTTCTCTTGGAATCAGATCAGGTGAAAATCTTGGGCGCAGAAATAGCTTGACTTTGATTTCTTGAAGTTGTATAGTTGTAATGCTAGCACTGAGTGGTTTTGGGTTATGATGTTAGAAGATAAATGTTTTTGAATTATATTTCATGAACGGAAAAACTGTTGTTCTAGGACTCCATCAATGTTTCACTGAACACAATGATTGCCCTCAATCTACCCTAAAGAGAATGGTCAGCATACATACTGTAGTTTTCGTCATGTCTCTTGAGAGTAGAAACCTTAGTTATTATTTTCCATGGCCTAAGTTCAATGGACATGATCATGTACTGTAGAAATGAGGTGAGGCACTTTTTCATCAGATTTCATGTATGTTTAATGTAATATTTTAATATTGTTATGTTAATATTCCATATGTAACAAGGGTTTTACTTTACTGTAAGTGCTACCTAAGACCACAGGACTTCCACCTAGGCTGGATGATGAAACCTCTGTTGAAGGCAGGGCACTAGCAGCCCACTGGAACAAAGCGAAGGCTGAGTTTAGGCAAGATTGCTTCTGCAGTCTGAAAATGTTGCCTTTAGACTTAACAATAGCTGGACTCCAGGGATTCATCACATGCTCTAAATCATGAGTACTACCCTGTAAAGGTAGTGACCAGTAACAAAGGGAATGGGTCAACAGTTTTATATTTTTAGGCATATGCCTTTAAAACATTACATCAAACATGCAGTACATTAAGACCATAATGATTAAAGTTAATAATGTTTGTTTATGTTCCTCAGGTCTAAATGGATTTAGTTTAGAAAACTAGAGCAAAATAAAAATGCTGATTGTTTTGCAGGTAGTTTTGAAAGCCTTGGATCCCAATTTTGAAATTGATGACCCATATGCTCCTCATATACAAGGTCTGTACAGTATTACCATAGATTAATGCTTTAAATAATGCTGTGAGCATTTCATTGACATCTAATGTGTTTAGATTAGTACATTCACACTCCCAAAACAACTGTCTCTCAAAATATACAAACAAGTATGAAAAGGGTAGTCAGAGCAAGTGCTTTGATGCAGAGAATTAACCAGCGCTCAAGCCGTGTTATATTTAATTCTTCATTAATTCTGCCTATTTAATCAATTTTTCCTTGAAAACATGGAAATTGTAGACACGTAATATGGTGGTCCCAATTTTCCATTCACTGATGATGTCCAGCTTCAGTATAGAGAAGACCATAGAATACAGTAGGCCATTTCGCCCATCATAAGTGTTTCTCTATATGTCATAACCAGTACTGGTTAGGATCAGCTCAGAGTAAGTAAAAAAAAGAAAACTTGAACTCCATGAACTGAACCCAGAACCCTAGAACCACAAGGCAGTAGCACCAGACCACCATGTCACTCCTGTATAGCAAATTAGGCCTATGTTCTTTGATGTTTAAATACATTTTATCCACTCTAGAGCTCATTACCCTTACAAATCTGCGAATAAACTTCACAAGGCTTCTCACTTTGGGTGATAATCTGCTGGGAAGACGGAAACGCAACCCTCAGGACAAATATTACTATGCTTTGTATGAAATGGTTGTACGCGGGAGCTGCTTCTGCAATGGCCATGCAAGTCAGTGCATACTGGTGGACAACACAAGAGGCGATGTGTTCAGAGAGCAAGGGATGGTAAGAATCGTATTAATTCATTAATACAGAGGTCTCTACTTCAGTTCTTCACAGCCAGATGGCTAACTTGACTCTTTGAATCATCTGCTTTTAGGAAAAAATGTTAAATCTGTTCAATCAAAATCATAGAAAATCATTCAACCTCAATTTCAGCAATCTCACCTTCTGTACTTACGTGTGAAGGTCAAAGAGTGAATGCATATGGGTCTCTCTTTGGCAAGGATTATATTCATATAATTTCCTCTTGGTTCAATTAACAATGCTCCTGGATAAAACATTCCCATTAATTAAGATCTGAAAAAAATGAAAGCAGATATTTGAGCCTGAGAGTACCTATCAATGTTTATAACTAGTTTTCAGCTGTTTTAACAAATTTCTTCCTTGCAATTTATAATATCTAAATTCAAACAAGATTTTATATGTGAGAATTTTTAAGAAAACTCCAAATAATGTTTTTCTTTGGCTGCAGGTCCATGGCAGATGTGTATGCCAGCACAACACAGATGGATTAAACTGCGAGAGATGCAGAGATTTCTATAATGATGCCCCCTGGAGGCCAGCTGAAGAATTGAACACACATACCTGTACAAGTACAAAAATAAAATTGATTAATTTATCAGTTTAATCAGTGACCTACAAACCACTGACACTTTATTTTTAATTACGTTGGAACACACAGCTTATGACTATTAAGTGGCCATTTCTAATCAGCAACAATCTCGGTTAAAAAAAGGTTTACTGCAGTTTAAGAAAAGTGAGGGATTTGTTTACTTTCAGAATCACAATACTGTACTTAAATTAATATTGAGTAAAACTTCTCTTTCCAGAATGTAACTGCAATGGACATTCGAAGAAGTGTCATTTTGACATGGCACTGTATTTATCCAGTGGCGGAGTGAGTGGGGGTGTCTGTGATGACTGTCAGAATAACAGGGCTGGACCAAACTGTGAGCAGTGCAAACCCTTCTATTATCAAGACCCACAGCAACCTCTGACTGACCCTCATGGGTGTATCCGTATGTAGCCAAATTTCATCTATCAATTTTCTAACGGCTTTTTTGCAATTCAGGGTCAGGGGTGGGGGGACAGAACCAGAACTAGCAAGCAAAAGGTGCAAGGTGGGGTACACCCTGGATGGGATGCCAGTCCATTGCAGGGAAGACAGACACAATCACAATGTGGTCAGCAATCCTAAACACTGCACTACCTTGCTTCCCTAATCAAATGTAATTTTCTTCATAATCTCTGTCACAAAGGGTTGATTCAGAATGTGTATGGGTAAATATCTACAATAGAATTGCCCATACATAAATTCCATCCTTAGCCTTTTCTGTTGTCTTGAATTAATGGTTTTGTGCTGTATGACAGTAAATCAAGATTGAACATTCTGCTCTCATTTTGATCATAACAAATAAATAATATCATTTATTACCTTCTGAATGCCACTCTAATTATTTCAGTGATGATTTTATTTTACTTGAAAATGTATTGAGAGCAGAACATGAGATGAGTTAATTTTCATCTGTTTTTAATACAGCATGTGACTGTGACCCAGAAGGTACTGTGAATGGTGGACTGTGTGAGGCTCGCACGGACACCATCTTAGGAACAGTGGCTGGGCGCTGCAAATGCAAGGAGAATGTGGAGGGGCTTAGATGTGACCGCTGCAAGTCTGGATATTTTGGGATAAACCGAGATAATCCCAAAGGATGCCAGTGTAAGCAAGATAACTTTGGTGTTATTCAGTATTATTTTAAGGCTTTAAACTAATATGTCAGATATTGCTAAATAATTTGTTTTGCCCAAATGATGTTGAACACTATTTTAAAACAGAGACCACAAGTGATTGAATATCTTGTATTTTCTATGTGAACGATTCAAGACCGATAATGGGAAGAGCAGAGTACCTGTGGTACCATGTGAAGTTACTTCAGTAAAATAGATTCAGAGTGGGTAATTTTCTCAATATGTTAATTTAAATTATTTTTTGTTTGAAAAATTTAGTTTCCTTGAGAACACTCTGTAAACCAGCTTCAAAGCTATCAAACTCAGTGAATAGCTGTGAATGATGTAGAAATTTCATCCTAATAATTTATTAGCTTTTGCACCCTTAAAAAATAAAACAAATAAATAAGCAACAACAACATTTCTGTAAACAGAGACCAAAAATGATGACATTTTACAGACATAAATAGACTAGGAAAAAACAGCACAATTACTCACAGCACTGGGCTCTTGATGCGAAAGTATCGGCACAGAGCTCTTCATGTGTAATTTTCAAAACTGATTAAAACAAAAGAAGTATCTTGGTCTAAAAGTTTCTACTTTAGTTAAAATGATCTGAAAAATATAACAGAGATGCAACCACAAATCACCAAATTGCACATAACAACCTATCATGTCTTTCTCAGCAACATCAATTGATTCATATGCAAACAAACACTGCAATATCTCAATTTCATTCTCCATTGTTACGCATTGACAATTTTTGTGGAGTTTCTGTTGTTTTTAACATCCTGAGCTGTGCAGTTTGCAGGTGCAACAGGCTGGGAAGCGTGCTGATCCCTTCTCCCTGTGACCAAGTGACAGGAGAGTGTTTCTGCCAGCGCTTCACCACTGGACCCTTGTGTGATGAATGCTTGGTAAGCCACAGTTAGTTCTGTTTAGGATACAGTAAAGTACAGTGTTGATAATGGACTGAAAAAAAAACTCGACTTTCTATCTCTTCACTAATAATTTGTCTGTTTTGCAGCCTGGATACTGGGGTTTAGGCAATTCAGTGCACATCTGTACTCCTTGCGATTGTGATATTGGAGGAGCATATAATAACTTGTACGTATAATGTTTTCACAGTTATAATTCACATACTGTAACAAATACAGTGACTTTAAAATGTTTCATGGTTATTGGTTGCATTTTGAAATTAATTTCTTCGTAGATTATGAATTTAACTAAACATTCAGATCTTATACAGGCACTTGCAAAAGTATGCGTTATAATCAGCTCAACTCCATTCAAGTAATTAATGCCATGCTGATCAGTACATCTGATCAATTGGTGTCTTCTCTCATTTGTTGCTATTGTCATGTTCGGAGTGGCTTGCATTTCTTGCTTGCCAGGATAGGCTCTGGCTCCCTTATGACCCTGAATTGGAAGAAATGGTAAGAAAAGGGTTTGATGGAAAATACATCCGATGCACTAAAAATGTGTAGCAGTTCTTTTAAAAATGTCAGTAAAAGCTCCCTAGACCAACATTTTAAATTTGTTTCTAGGTATTTCAGAAGTGAATTTTGGGGGCAAAATTTTTTTTTTCATAAATAAATTACATTTTATCAATCTTATTTGTGTAGGTGCTCATCAGTAGATGGACAGTGTCAATGCCTCCCCCACATTATTGGCCATAGGTGTAATGAACCAGCCGCTGGCTATTTCTTTGCTCCTTTGGATTATTACCTTTATGAAGCTGAACATGCTGCACCTATGACTGGTGGGCCCTCTCCTTTGGTTGGTATATTTTATTTATTTAACCTGTGCAAATCCTGCTCTTTTCATTATTCAATTTACCTGACATGTGCTGCCCTGGCACAAATTAGAGTAAATCAGGTGTTACAGTAATTCTCTCTTTCTAGCTCTACTCTTAAATAAAATGAAACAAAACAGCAGATGTTATTAAACTCTTATTAAAGTCTGATTTGATATTTTTTTCCCTGTGGCCCTTGCAGTTAAAATTATTAAAGCAAACCATTTTTACCAGCTCTCCACGGGGATTACAAAGTTAGACTAAGCATCCAGCAACGCTCAGCAATATATGGCTCTGGAGAGCCAGAGCTTTGGATATATTCCTTAGCTTTATATAACATGTTCTAAGCTATTTTTGGTTGCTGTTACTTACTATGGCAATACACCAATTTAATTTTTAGATTTTACATTTATTTTATTATTAACTATTAATTTCAGACAAAAAGACATTAATTTTTTATTGTCAATATTCCAAACTGTCTTTCCAGGTAAAACCAACAGCTCTGCCAAAGTGCGAGCATTATTTCCACCAAAGAGGATATGACTTTAAGTACAAAAATGGGAAATTTGTCCTGACCAGAATAAATAAGCAGAATGTCTGGGAAAGAAGACAAGAGCAAGTAATTTTTTAAACATAATCTGAAAATTTTATGCATTTAATACTTCAAATTTTATTGAAGTACTATCACATTTTCTCCTGTGAAGGACTTTTCACATTATTTGTTTTTGATAAATACAAGGCTCTGGGATTATATACAAGGTTTCTTTAGTTTATATCCCATTGAAAACATTTTTCCCTCTGACTTTGTCCTTCTGTGTTTTTCACATTCTTAATGGTTGTTTTAAATTCTTGTAATAACAGATGATTATTCTGAAGTGACCTAGTTCATTTTGGAACACTGTTCAGTACTGTGGAATAGTATTTTGATACTTGTTGCTGACACTGGAAATACAGTATATTGTTTTATCTCATGGATCTTTTGCAGCAGAACACCATTTCCCTTGACCCAGGATCTCCACTCCAGCTTGTGTTTCGAGAGCGAGTGGCAGGCAGACCTGTCACATGGACAGGCCCGGGGTTTGTTAGGGTGCAGGATGGAGCAGGACTGAGGTTCAATGTCACAAAAGTCCCTTTCTCAATGCAATACTTTGTAGTGATCCACTTTGAACCTGAAGTAAGCATCGATTGTTCATTTTAATGATTTAATGAAAAATGAAAATATCACAATATTTCTTGTTGGTTCTTTAAATGAATAATATTACAGGAATAATGTATACTTTATTTCTTAACTAACACCTGAAAATAAAATAATGTCCAAAATAAATGAGAAATGAACACAAAATAACAATAATAATAATAATATTAATAATAAATTAACATTAAGGCAAATTGATATATTTATAGTAGTTCAGGTGGGTAGCTGCGTCAGCATGCGTAGGCTGCAAAGGAACATGTAATAGGTTTATTCCATGCTGGAAAGACATCAGTGTCCACACCCAAAGAAGGCTTCATAGCTGAAACGTGTTTTCTTTCGTCTCTTTTCGGCATGGAATAAACCTATTACTTGATATATTTATATATACATACTGTATATCTGGGATTGGATTGTTTGAAAATATCAATACAATTTTATCAGAAGCATTTTTTAACTTCTAATGCATTCTTAAGTCCACAGATGACTGGACAGCAAACATGAAAGTCTCTGTTATAAGTTCACCTGTTGACGGACGCTGCCCAGAGGAACAAACACAGACCAAAACAGTAACTCTCTCTGGCTTGGCAAGGTAAGCTTCCCTTGGCAAAAATCCAATTTAATGCTACAGAAACAGCCGAAATCACTAAAACCATATTAAGATGTCTGTGTCTATTTGGTTTGTGTAAATATTGTATTACTAATCAGTGGGCGCTACAGATTGTATTATGTTTCTGCATTTGCCTTATTCAGTTAAATGGTTCGTTATAATAATGTCTTGATCTGTTGCTTAATATATTTATCATAAAGACATGAAAAGGTTAACTTTACACATCAACTAAAATTACAAACAAAGTCTTTTGACCTAAAACTTGATATTGAAAGTTGAACATTTCCGAGATTGTTTGATTTTGTACCACTATGCACCAATCAAGCAGTCCATCAGGGATATACTGTATCTCACTTATGGTACATACCACAAATATAGCCTACAATTATGTAACCTCAATTTAAAAAAATATAAGCAAAATTAACAATGCTTCCTTTAACAATGGCCTATTATTAAGAAAGATAAAGTCAAAGTATTGTTCCTCATCATTATAAAATAACTGTTTGATTTCAGAATAGCCATCTGGGATATGCCCATCTGCTTGGACCTTGATGGGAGTTATCAAATAGATATCACATTTAAAACCCAATCAAATGCAAATTCTCAGTCATCCTTCATCCTGATTGATTCGGTAAGCTTGTGGAAATAATGTAGGTTATTATTTCATTCATTGGTATTGTTCCTACTGCAAGCCACGTCCCCTAGAGTCCCTCCAGAACCAAATGTTCTAGCTTCTAAAGTTGTATTACAGTTTTACATGCAAGGAAAAAGTAATTCCACAAACATAACTCTGTGCAGAAATTTAAAATGAAATGGAGTGCTTTTTAGATGCACATTTTAGATCAGATTTCCACTTCACAATATTTAGATTAACAACATACACATAAATGGTTTATAACAGGAACATTTAACCTTAATACAACAGGAGGTAAATTCCAGATCCCAATCCTTAATCCTTCCTGAGATGAAAAACCGCTACAGCTACTGCTGCTACTGCTACTAATAATAAAGAAATAAAACATCGTTCCAAAGCCAAGGACACCATACAATAGTGATAAAGAAGAAAAAAAGTAAAGTAAAAAGGTGAATTATAAGTTTATATCTGAAACTGAAAGAGTCAAAGAATTTGTATCTTGAAGATTTCGAGGAAGGCCATTCCATAACAATGGAGCAGCAACAGAAAAATTCCAAAATGTAGTCCTAAGTACAGTGGGCAAAGGACCAGCCTCAACTAAATGGAGCCTAAAGTAGGGAGTCTAAACATCAAGGACTTAAGATATCTTTGATGGAACCATATTATTTAAAGCTTTAAAAGTCAGTAACAAGATCTTATATTCAATGTATGACTTTATAGGCTAGCAATGTAGAGATTTAAGTATAGGAGTGATATGCTGCCAGGGTCTGGTGTGAGTTGGAGAGTTTTAGAAATTGCTAAAAATGTTGCTGCGCTCATTATGTGTAGCTCATAAAACGTCTGTTTTGAGTTGATCTATTTTTGGAAAATATTGTTTCAGACAGTATTTCCTTGCTTTCCAGGTGGGTTTAATTCCACAGATTGAGTCCCTTCAGAATTTCTGCTCCCAAATTGATATAGATGAGTATCGACGGTACCAGTGCATTGAGATTGCATCTGAAGTCGGATCTCAGATGTTACCTAATGTGTGTGAGAGGCTTATTGCCAGCATGTCAGCTCGCATACACAATGGTGCTGTGTGTAAGTACTTGACCTGTAATATTCCAGGTCTGTCAAAAAGTCAATCTGTGCCAGTTCAGCTTATACATTTTTTTTCTAAATTGGAAATTAATTGGATCTCTACCTCTATGAATAGTAACGGAAATTGGGCAGTGGGGTTTTGCAGTGTACCTGGGCTTCTTCTCTTAATTTTCAAAATTAGACTTTATAATCCAGCTATCCAGGTCATTTTGTAACCCTTGACTGTGTTATTTGTCCTTACACACTAGTTCTCAATTTCTGTGCTTCCACTCCGTACATTTCTTCCTAATATTTGTGAAACATGACCCTCTAGTGGTAATATTGCTATATACAATAAACATGCCAACACCTCAACAATACAGACATGAAATTATTCTTCTAAATTTGAAAATGGATTGTGAATTATTTTTAAATGTAATTGCATTTCCAAGTGTTGCACCTTTTGTCAATAATTACAGTAATTACTTGTCAGTAATCAAATGTGAATACCAAAGGAAGATTGTGTTGTACATGGACTTTGTTTGCTGATCATAAGTTACAGTATGATGTATGATTACAGATATTGTCAGAGTATTTTTACAGAATGGTTAGATGTAAGAATTAATTTAAATAAAAAAAGTATAAGCAAACATCTGAAGTTCTTAATAATATTCTCTGTCAGGTCTTAATCATTAACTATATTACAAAATGTATTCAATGTAAAAAAATGAATTGATTATGAAATCAAATTCTTAAAAGTCTTTGGTAATTTCAATGAATAATCTTTCAGTGCCTTTTCAAAGTGCCTGGGTTTATTTACCCAATATTAACTGCTTCAACATAATTAGCATACTTTCAGATAAGAAAAAAATTTATATATCAGCAAGATATTTACATCATTTAATGTATTATTGTAATTAAGTTCATTTAAGCCATTAATGGTCCTTTGAATAAATAATTCAGTATGAGTTTTTTTTTTTAGCCTGCAGGTGCAATGCAGAAGGCTCTGAAAGTCCTTCCTGCAGTAAGTTTGGTGGTCAGTGTCAGTGCAAACCCAATGTAATTGGCCGATGCTGTGATACTTGTGCTCCAGCAACCTTTGGATTTGGTCCCTATGGCTGTACAGGTATGTCTCTCTTTTAAAACAATAGCCTTGCTACTGTAAATTTGCATAATTAGGTGAAATGTTCAGTGTAGTCTGGAAGGTTACACTCCAATGTAAACAATAAAATGAGTATACTTTACTTTGATTATAGCCACCTACTGTAGTATTACAGAGATCTAGAACCTCTTAATTCTGTGGTCTGGGGGTTCTGAAAAGTGCAAGACTCTTAAATTGAGCAACTTTGGTGCCAATAACAGAGGAGGTACTGTACACAGCTTTCTTTGTGTGAATTAAAGGACACAGGGATGATTAAAACGAAAAAAGTTTCAGGCGTACTAACTACAGTATTTTAGCAAGAGACTTATCAGTATCATGGAGATCAGTAACAACACACACTAACAAACTAAGATACAGCCAAGCATTATAGAGAAAGAGACTAAATCTGAAGAGAAGACAGACTTACACTACATTACACTACTATGCAAAGTGGTGAGTCAAGATAAAATAATCATACATGCTTAACTGACCCAGAACCATTAAAACCCAGAGTCAACATAAAGATCTCATCCTCTTGTACCCAGCACACTCAACCAAGGTACCTTAAGCAAAAGCAGCATGTCTCAAAAAAGAAATATGTTTGCTTTCTGGTCTACACAGGCTGTACAAGAAAATCTCTCTGCCTGATCTTCAGCTTCTCACCTTCTTAAAGTCCTTTGCAATCCTAATGCAAGCAACGTGGTGGACAACAGTCCTCACAGATTGAATCACACACTCTTGAGTTACCTTATGAGTATGTGGTGTTGAATCTGAAACAAAAGGATAGAAAGGAAACAAAATAGAAAGAAACGAAAAGACTGCACAACACTTCATAATTAATATACAGTACAGTAGCTGTCCTATGAGTCACCATGCAATTCGCATGCAGTTGCATCCCTATGCTCGAAGGAAGGATGCATCCTTACATAATCATAAAAAAACATCTGCATCTTTACTTAATCATAAACATGGTTTAGTTGGTAAATGCAACTAACAAAATGCTGAAAAACAGGGAAGGCAAGATTTTAGTATCTTGTGTCATGCTTATCAATCTCAATCTGCCAAAAGTGTGACTAATTGATATGATACAACCTCTTTCACAATACTGCAGATCTGTCAGTCACAGATCACGGATCAAGCTAATACACGGATAAAATGCTTTCAGTATACATATTTCCCTTTCAAAAAGTGGGTCAGATCAGTTTAGAAAAGAAGCTTAGCTTTCCAAATGTATACTGCCTTTGCAAAGTGTTTGCAACCCCAACCTAAAGGCTCATTCTGTCCAATTTTCCATAGCTTGTGCCTGTGACCCTCAAGGTTCTGTCAGCGAAATGTGCGATCAAGTGAACGGACAGTGTCTTTGCCGAACGGATGTTTCGGGAAGGCAATGCAACCAGTGCCAGCCAGGATACTTTGGATTTCCTAAGTGCCGCCCATGTCAATGCAATGGGATGGCAGAGCTCTGTGACCCAATAACTGGAACGTGTCTCAACTGCAAGGGGTTCTCCACAGGGCAGAACTGTGAAAGGCAAGTAAAATGTGTAAAATGTTTCCAGAGATGTTAAAATGTATTTAAACAGAAATGTAGGATTAACAATGTCATGCATTTGTAGATGCCTGGATGGCTACTATGGGGACCCCGTTTTGAAAGAACCTTGTGAACCGTGTATGTGTCCAGACGCTAAAGGCAGTGGCCGCTATTTTGCAAATTCTTGCAGCAAAGATCAGAATGCCATCCAAGTGGTCTGTAACTGCATAGAAGGATATGCAGGTCAGAACTTGTGTAATGTTTTACTTTTCTTTTTATATTAATTTCTAGGAGCTGTTATATGCACACAAAAGAAAAATACTCTTATGCTTGCTATAGTGTACATTTAACAGAGAAAGACCCTTACATTATGTTACTTGGAGTGAATTTCCACTGTGTATAAAATGACAATCGGCTATACTTTTCTTTAAAACTCTCAAGGTTTTTCTAGCTTTGTTCCTTGCTACTGTAAAAAGTTGGAAGTCCAAAAATTGGATGAGACTAAGTTGCGGCCAACACTTGTGTAATACTTCTGTACTGTATGAACTCCATTAATCAGTTCCAGTCAGAATTATAATTTTATTATTATATGAAGTAATCAACACAACAATACATTAAAAATATTAAACATTTCTGGCCATTTCTGGCCAAAGTGAGCCACAATGCACATATACAATAAATGATGTGAAAAAATGGCAAGTGCTACAGTGACTTTTTTAATGAACAAAATATTAATTGTTGCAATGTGCATCTTTGATTAAAAAATATTATCATAAATATGTTTTGAAGCTTTGTTAGTTGCAGCACAATGGGAAAATAAACTCTTTTTGTATGTGTCAGGCAGCCACTGTGACAGGTGTCCCTCTGGGTTCTATGGCAATCTGACGCAGCCAGGGAGTCAATGTCTGGAATGTCCCTGTAATAATAATATAGACCTCAGAGATGAGAATGCCTGTGACAAGATAACAGGGCAATGTCTCAGATGTCTCTACAACACAGTGGGGCACAACTGCGAGTCCTGCAGGCCTGGTTTTTATGGATCAGCTCTGTCTCAAGACTGCAAAGGTGGTACAGTGTACATCCTCTGAACATATTGGTACAAATGGGGGGTTACGAAAAAAGAGAAAATCAAATCAATTGATGATCGAGTGGATTAATCAATAACTCAATTAAAAAATCATAACCCCCAACTTGTAAGGTTTTTGCCAAGAACATACCCAAGCTATTTGTATAATTAGAGCCACATGAGTTCTTTGTTCTCTGGCATACCTTTGATAGAAGGAATAATAATTCAGGCACAATGGGTTAAACAGATATTTAAAAATTACAGCAAACACTAAACATACAACATACAAGTCACTCTATTTACAAGTTTACAGTCAAGGTGTTCCAGAAGCCTTCTGTACGTCTAGATCACCCAGAAAAACCTCAGACTGCTATCAAGTATTCAAACTAATAAACCCTACAAAAGCCAGAATAAGATAAAGCTGCCTTCTAAACTAAATAGAATACAACATGCCGTCTGTAAACCCAGATGCCACTAAATGAAATGGAACCTACTGTATCTCCCTATTTTAATAATGCACTCATTAGGAGAGGCTGTTGTTAACTGAGGGATCCTAAAAACACAGATTAACAATCACTCATAGCAAGGTTCAAATACTGACAAATATTGATGATCTCCTGGCACACGCTTTATGTTCTGTGTCCTCCCGTCTCTTCTCTTCTTTCTTGATCTGTTGTGATCCACTCCCTTGTGTCTGCCTTTTTATCCTACATTTTTGACACTCTTAATCATTTATGCAGAACTTAATTAACTAATGTTTTAACTTACTTTAACTTAACTAATTAACTAATGTAAAGCATAAGATTATTTTGATCATTGTGTCTCACACCCAACACAAGTAAAAATCCCTTGGTTTGAAGTTCTAGGAAGTGAAAATGTTGACACTAGCTAGGTGTTACCCATTGTGTCTAGATTCTTAGAGACTTCCAAAGTCACGTACCATAACCTGTAACAATATACCTTTCATTGTGTCTTACATGTTGAAAATATATTGATGCATTGTTAGAATTTGAAAATGTGTTCTTTTTTTTCACTGACAGGAGTAATTAAATAAGAAATCAAGAGTCTTTGTATCCAGTTTGGTGGGAAAGTATTTTTTTCTTGTCTGTTGAGTCTTATTACTACTTACCATTTACCAGTCATACATACTCCAGGACTCAAAAATAAAATTTGCCTTTATATATATATATCTCTCTCTCAGAATTATCATCTCTGTGAATGATAAAGTTTAATGACGCCATTGTTCTCTCTACCTCCTGGATTGTGCTAAATCTGTTTTTCTCTAATTACTGTTTTCAGAATGCTCTTGTGATGAGCTGGGTACTGACAGTGCCAGGTGTGTGGTTAATGGGGTGTGTATCTGTGAGCAGTCTTCTGGGCAGTGTCCATGCTTACCCCATGTGATTGGAACAAACTGTGATCAATGTGATGTGGGATACTGGAACCTGGAAAATGGTAGAGGCTGTCAGCCATGTGACTGCAATTCAGCAAACTCTCTTAGCAACCAGTGCAATCAGGTACAACTCTTTTCAGCAATAGCTATATATTTGGTATTCTCAATGGAAAGTATGCCTTGCTACAATATTATTATTTATTGCGACTATCTTCCTAAATATTAATACTCTCTTTTTTCCCATCTCCTATGTCTTTTATTTTGAGCTGCACAGAATACTGGCCAGTGTCCCTGTCGACCAGATTATGGAGGAAGAAAATGTGATGAATGTGGGGAAAATTTCTTTGGAGACCCTGAGCTACAGTGTATTTGTAAGTGCAAACATGTTTTTAAGAAGTGCTTGTTATCCTGCAATGCACACTTATATCAGTTTATTAGTGTATAAGTATTGATTGTAAAAAGAGACAGATGTTGCTACTCAAGTCACTTCTTAGATCTTAAATTGTTATCCACACAACCTTTTGCATTTCAAACTAACTTCAGTAAGTTATAAACTTTCACCACACATCTCAAATCGCCACCTTCACCTAATTCCATTTAATTTATGATTTTATCAGACAGGGTTACGTACCATACACATCTTTTATGCTGGAAGTCTGCTTCTTGTTTGACACAATAGCGATGTGTTACTTTTGTGAGTCTAGTAGTGGCAGAAGGTAGATGTGATTAAATTAGTTTGTTCAGTGTCATTTGAACAGGCTAGACTTTCTGAAGGACAAAGTTCATGAAGTAATTCCATGTAAATGCTTGTTTTTAATACAACAGCATGTGACTGCAGTGTTGAAGGAACTGAGAAGCCAGTGTGTGATAAGTTCACTGGGGAGTGTAACTGCCGTCCTGGTGTGATTGGTGCCTTTTGTGACAAGTGTGCCCATGGCTATGATGCAGAGTTTCCAGCTTGCACTCCCTGTCACCCCTGCTTCCTGCTCTGGGACAAAAACATCACCGGCATTCGGAACACCTTCCAAAGGCTAAACAGCAGCGTGTCTCATTGCAGTGACAGTAACATTACAATCTATGACAACCAGCTACAAGACATGGAGAGCAAGCTGCAGGAACTGCAGGAATTTCTGAACACCTCAGTGGCTTCTTCAGATGAAATAGAAAATCTTGAACACTTCTGTGAAAAAATCAAGTAAGCTTCATATGACTATATATATATATTTTACTAGAATTTTCTTCAATTTTACTGTGGTATACCATGGCAAAGGAGTAGCAAAGTGTAAAAGAAGCATGGTAAAGTGTAATAAAACACATAGGTATCAGAAAGCATAATTCAAACTATAGGAATCTATGGTAAATCAAGAAAAAAAGCATAGTAAGTACTATGTAAAAGTACCTAAAAATTGTAATAAATTAACAGTAAAAATCAAGTTGTTTTACACTGTATGAAGATTTACTATTGTAAACTTTCATGAGGAAATGGTTTCTCTTTTTACTGTTTCACAACTCAAGGTGGAATGTTTTGTTTTATTTCTTTAAGTGTACCTTTGTTTTATGCTTTGGTTAACTCATCTGTTACCAACGATGGTTGGGTTGTATACACATGCTTGGTTTCCATGGTTCTGATTTGAAATCTGAATTTGAAAATTAAATGTCTTTAAATTGCTCAGAAACAATATCTCAAAAGTATTCACTCATTAAGTTATTTTGAATCATAGGAAAAAAATCTCCATGTATTTTGCCCTTCTACTTTCAGTTCAGTGTGTTCAGCATAATGTGTACTTCCTTTATGATTTTTGGTACATTTTAGGAGTTTAAAAAAAACACTTACTTTGGATATCATTTTGCACTTAAAGATGCAGTGAGAACGGGTTACCAAAACATTTCATGTACAGTAGTTCTGTGTATTAGAAGAATGCCACAAATCAGTTATAACAGGTTCCCTTGTCTGTTTGACCTTGCTGTATGAAAAAAAACACTCATCTAGTGAACACAGCCTGCACAGAACATTTTTTTAATAAATATTTAATCATGTAATTTACTGTAAGTGAAACCAATATTATCAAGTATTCTGGCATTGTTTACCAATAATTCAAATGTACTTCTTTTGCAGCAAAGAAAAAGATGAAATAGATCCGAACACAATTTTTATGGACTGGACTTCATTGTTGAACAGTGATATTGATACTATTAGATATGACTTTAACAGGCTTTTTGAAGATTTGAAGGACAAAGTGAAAGCCCTTCCGAACTTTGACACAAAAGTACTGTTAAGTAAGTTCAAAGGAAAAAAATTTTTTGCATGTAATATTAAAATATTACAAATGTGCTACGAAAGTGCTTAATATGTGATAAATGGTATTTATTAAGGAATGTTCTTGTATATTTGTTTAATAATTATAAAAGTAAAACAATTATGATTATTTTAATTCAAGGGTTATTTTTGTGCTAGGATTTAGTGTATTCTTTCAATACAGTATACAAATCCCAAATATTTATATGATTGTTATGTATTTTTTTTTAATTTTGTGTGATATTAGGAGCATACGATGTCACCAGAAAGCACCATACAGATTTCATGTTTGCAGAACAAAAGAAAAAACAAGCTACAACCCTCATTGATGAATCCCAGAATACAAGGGAAAAGGCAGACAGTCTGCTGGATAAGACATGTCTGCAGAATGACTGGGAGAGTTTAGAGAAAAAGGTCAAGGCTCTGACTGTAGCAAATCTAAATGAAAAAGTGAGTGTGATTATGAATAGGTCACAATTCTATGTAAAAGACCATTTTAATTCTCCAAAAAGTATGGAGTCTATGTAATGTCTGGGTGAGCACAAACTCGCAGCCCTCAGTTTCCTTGACAACCAGGTGCATTCCCACAAGGAGCTGCATTCCATCCGACTATTCAGACTTGCTCAGGCCGAATATCCCAGCCTCCTTCATCCAAATAACAGGTGCTTCAGTCATCATACATAAACTCTGCTCTGCCACTGATTCGTGCTCTGTCATTGAGACCTACTTTGTACGTAGACCAACGTAGCGCTCAGCAATACTAACCTGTGTCTTTGAAGGACATTCTATTCTGCCTCCTTCAGGATGTGCTAAACTCAATCATTTTTAATTTATTTTTAATTTATTGTGGTTTTCTTTTCTTTCTTTTCTTTCTGTTTCTAAGGATAAGGGACTAACTGTATGAATATCATTCTGTACTATATTTTAGAAAAAAAATGGCTTGAAAAAGCTTGGTTTGTGAACAAAAATATTTTATTCTTCTTAGATCTGTGGCTCCCCAGGTGATGCTGAATGCTCCAAGGCAAGATGTGGGGGGGCTCTTTGTGTAAGCTTTTTTGGATACAGAAAATGTGGAGGTCCTGACTGCAGTGGTAGCCTCCCACTCTCCCAGAATGCTACTAAAACATCAAAGCAAGTGGAAGAGTCCATTAATTACCTTCTAAACCAGCTACAATATTCTCAGAAAGAGGTAAATTTCTAGTTTCTATTTTTTGCATTGGTACTAAAGTAATTTCTCAATCACTCTCTGTAGAGTCAACTTCATCAAATTAATCCACTTTAAAACAAAATATCAAAAGTATATACCTACTTATAAGTGTAACAATACCTGTTATTAACAACAATATTAAATCAATTATTGTTATCTTAATTTACTTAATTATCTAACATTTAGTTAAATGCTACAGTTTAATGTGACAGTCGTGACATGCATTATCACTTCCGGTGTGATTATTTAAAATGAAAAATACTGGTTGTTAGCTAAATCAGATATATCCAATTTAAAAGGAAGACACTAAAAACGAGAAACTTGAATTACTTAATCCACAATGTTAGCCCTAAAGCTAGTTTAGCACAATATTTTAAGGGGTGACCTGTTTTGCAACTCAGGAGTCACTTTTGGTGTTTGTGTGAATTGTTTTGAGAATTATGCCAATATGTTCAGTGATTTTGTCTTTGGAATTGATAAAAACTTGTTTAAAATCTGATACTCTGTTTTTAAATAACACTTCCTAGTTCCTAGTGTCTATTTACCAGGGAGCTAATGTAGCAAATCAAATTTTCTTCATCTTTACTAAAATAGAAATTAAGGTTCTCTTAAGGTTCAATGGCATTGTTCATCAGTTCAAATGAGCAACTGGGTCTGATTTTCAATCGTAAAGGAAACTAGCAGACCTTCCATCCCTTGGTGTGTTTGGTATGGTTTTGTTGCTGTAGGACCCAGATGGCTTGCCAACATTGTAGGTCTGCTTGTTTGTTTAGGATCATTGTCTTGGAGCAGGTTATTGACTAGCATTTGGGATGATGTAGAGATTGTAAACCATCCTGGCCCTAAGACAAGATGGGGTTCTTGTGTTGGAAGACATCATTTGACAGCTTCTAATTATTGAACAAATCGTGAATTCTGCATTGTATCAGCAACTGGGGCAGAATGTCAGACCATCCAGTTGTCATCTAAACCTGAGCCACATATACAGTAGGTCGTGCATATGGGTTGTTGCTTGCATCAGATGCTCAAATGATTATAAAGGGAGTACAGTCCTGTTTTATACCTTACTTACTTCCTTTATTTACCCAGATGAGAAATTTGCTGTGCAGGCAGAAAAGACATAACACAATACAAAATATGTGTAACACAAACTTGAAATGTATAATTGTCTGTGGTTATGGGTCATATCAGACATTTACTTTGCTATTGTCATGTAAATTGAAGTATATGTTAAAATATACACAACCCACACTTTGTAAGCATTTTTAGAAGGTAATATGTGTCTTGAACTCAGCTGACCAAGAGACAATAACCTGTGAGGCAACTTGAAACCTCCCATTTGATCCTAGCCTAGGGAGTTGTGATAAATTCTGCAATGGAAGGTTTAAAGACTTATAATTCTACGTATTTAGGAATTAAAGACAGTGTTGTCCTCTGTAAAAGTAAAAGTTGTTTTTACTTACTGTTGTTATTTAATGTTGGTTTGAAAGTATCCACATCTTCATATCTCTCAAGCATGATAGTGGTGACAATGCCATCATGGTGCATTCTAAGAAACAATCATACAGTATATAGGAGCAGGTAAAGGTTTATTCCATGCTGAAAGCATTAAAGAAAAGAAAATAAATGTTTCAGCTGAGCAGCCTTCTTCAGGTTGTGAGGCTTCACAGCCAAAACATTGTGTCTCTTTTATTTTCCTTTCAGCATGGAATACACATTTACCTGTTCCTTTGCAGCATATGCATGCTGATACAGCTACCTACTCATACTGTATACAGATTTACTCTACACATATTTGAATCTTTACAGTTCTGTGACTGGCATTTCTTTCCTTTTGCCTCTGTTATTTACAATACCGTGTTATGAAAATTTAAACCAACACGTTTTCATTTCTAGATTAATGATGCACTGCAGAAAACAAAAGAAACTAAAGAGAAAGCAGTGGATCTGATGAAGAGAATAGAAAGCACAAGAACAAAATTTCATAAAGAAAAGGAAGACACAATAACTCTTATTAAGAAAGTAAAGGAGTTTTTAACAGGTAAAAAGCGTTATTTAATATAAATACTGCTACTATGTTCTCAGCTGTTCCTGGCAGCCATTGGTATTTTTTGAAGCTAAATTACATGTAAGGATGCTGTTCTTATTTGTTTGGCTTTTTAATTGACATTTGCTTGATTTGTTTTGTTATTGCCAATAATTAATCAAGTTCGATACAGACAACCTTACTACCAGGACGGTGGGGGTAGCTATCTTAAATGTTTTACATCAGAACATAGACTGATGAGATCCTGTCAGTCCCACTGGACTCTTAATTTTGACTGGAGCACTCAGAATACGCAAAATTTCATGCCACCTAGCTGAAAGACAAAATTAAGTAGAGGGCCTGGAGCCCACACTCAGAAAGGAATAAATGTTAGTGTAAGAATTTTACAAATGCATAATAGGAATGATAGAAGAAAATGGAAAAAGAAATATTTCAAGGACCATAGACAAATGTATGCCCTCTCCATTTTATTTTGTTCTATTTTTCCATTTCAATCACAGATGACAGAGTGGAACCAGATGACATTGACAAAGTTGCTACAATTGTCCTATCATTTAAGCTACCCAGCTCACCCAAAAATCTGGAAGACATGATCAAAAAGATCCAGAGCATCTTGATTAACTGTACAGAAGTGGAAGTTGAATTGAAAAACCTAAATGAACAGCTCCAGAAGGCAAACACGCTAGTGGAAGAAGGAAAGAATGCTGAGTAAGACTTTGTTCTAATTCTTGTGAAAAAGAAAACAAACTTTTAAAGACTTTTACAGACTCTTTTGTATCTTTGAAAAGCTAGTGTGGTTTATTTTCTATAAATTTATATTGCCAAATTTAAAATTTCCTTAGCATTACTCTATAATCAATAATGTATCTTAAAACACATATATATATATAGCTTCCTCAGATATGTTAGGAATGAGTAGTCAGTTTTAATTGAGATATGATACATAAAATGAAAAAATGTAAAATGCATAATTTAAAATAATTCTTTCTAATATAAATGAACAATCATTTATCTAAGATTTCCTTTATATTTAAGGGCAAAAGCAAAATCTGTCGACTTCAGAAAAGTAAAGAAGGCCTTAGAGAATGCTAACAAGATTCAAGACAGAGTCGAAAAGACACTTGCCTCAACAAAACCTAGTACCAAAGCCATCAATGACAAAATTGCAGAGGTAATTGTGTACGCACTTCAATATCCTTAATGATTCTTTAAGATAAAGAAATATATAAAGATGTTGCACAGGATTTTTGTTTACTAATACTAAGAAGGAGACGAGACTATAATATGTAGACAATACAGAAAGCAAAGTTCTAAACATAAACAAACACTTTTTCCCAATCCAAGAATGTAGAATCTCTTTTTTAAATCAGATTTGTGCTCTTTAATGCACCTTTTCAGAATCAGGCATACAATTCACAATTTTTAGCAATAATAATGTAAAACATTATTGTTTCCCTCTGAACCCAATTTTAATTCTAAACATCACCTACAGGGTGTGCTGTATTATTATCAATCCCATGATATGTAAGAAAGCTTAATTTTACTACAGAAAATAATAATAATCATAATTGCTTACACTTATATAGCACTTTTCTGGACACTCTACTCAAAGCACTTTACAGGTAATGGGAACTCCCCTCCACCACCACCAATGTGCAGCATCCACCTGGATGATGCGACGGCAGCCATAGTGCGCCACACATCAGCTATCAGTAGGGAGGAGAGCAAAGTAATGTAGCCAGTTCATAGATGGGGATTATTAGGAGGCCATGATTGGTAAGGGCTAATGGGAAATTTTGGCCAGGATGCCAGGGTTACACCCCTACTATTTTCGAGAAACGCCCTGGGATTTTTAATGACCACAGAGAGTCAGAACCTCGGTTTTACGTCTCATCTGAAGGACAGTGCCTGTTTACAGTATAGTGTCCCCATCACTACACTGGGGCATTAGGACCCACATGGACCTCAGGGTGAGCGCGCCCTGCTGGCCCCACTAACACCTCTTCCAGCAGCAACCTTAGTCTTTCCCAGGAGGTCTCCCATCCAGGTACTGACCAGGCTCACACCTGCTTAGCTTCAGTGGGTTGCCAGTTGAATTGAAACATTTCAATGTGATATAATTTCACAATACAATTTTTTAAAAACATTCTTCTGTCCCTTACATACTGTGAAATGTGTTTGTTACTGAGGGATGTTGTAATCTATGTAATTATATAATCTAATAATTGTATAACCTAGGAGCAAGTAGAAGTTAATCCTACATTGCAAAATAAAAAGAAACAATATTTCAGCTGTGTAGCATTCTTCAGGTGTGTTATGGGAATGAGGGAGAGCAATATACTGTAAATAAAGGGGTGGATAGGTAGAACAAAATAAATAGAATATGATAATAGACAGGGGTAGGTAACATCAGGTGGTAGTATAGGCCCTTTATTCCATAGCACTTAAACAACACACAGCACTATTACTGCATATTCCTGAAGGAACAAGAAAATCCAGCATTGTGTTATTTCAATGCTTATAGAATGATGTCACATTCTTTAATGTATGCCAGAACTATAAGAACAATATAAAAAAATGAAGACACTATATACAGCACATTTAATTTACACTACCCACAACCTGTGGAATTGCTTTTATATGCTTTGTTTTACAAACAGGCAGAAGAAAAGATAAACGACACTGAAAATGCCTTTGACTTTGCAAGAGTGCAAATTTTACTAGAGGAAATAGAGGCACTAAAGAACAAAACTGCAATGAACAGACTACAAGCCAAGGAGGCAAAGGCTGCAGCAGAAACTGCCTTTAATAAAGCTACAGATGGTGAGAGGGTAAATACAGAGCATGTCTATTAACCAAGGTCTTTCTGCTGAAAGCAACCACATTACACCTGTCATAATCTGATTTTAATGGAAAGGTACACAGTGCAAGGTTTTAAAGACCACTGTAGACTTGCATAATGTTAAAGATCATGAGACCACTTTGTAATAGCATTTGATCTCTTTAACAGCAATTAGATGTCGTCTTTGACGAACTCAACAAGTTGAAAGAAAAGGCAGAAGACCAGGAAGCTTCCAATGAGGCCAATGAAAAAATAGAGAAACTAAAAATGGATGCTGAAAATCTAGCAAAAACTGTTGAAGAAAAAATTAAGCTCCTAACAGGTAATATGGACAGACTTTTCTTGTATTAATTATGTAATAATTCTAGGGTTTGTTCTATTTGTCTAATACAGCTTTTAAATATTCTTACATTTGATTGTGTAGATATTGCCCCCTTTCATTTGTTTTACTGTATCATAAGGATATTAATTCACATATAATTATTTAAATTTTAATATTTTGCCATTATTTTAAATAGGTATTTGAATAATTCTTTGACATAAAATATTAAAAGACACTTGATTACAGAGAGATTTATATAGGAAAACTACCCACAAACAAACATGAAAACCGAAGGGGCTTAATCATGTTATATTGAAATATAACTGATAACTGAAATAGTCTACATTTATGATTCTGATTTTGTTGTGTTGGCATGCAGCTAAACGAATACTAACCTTTTCTGCTATCCTTGATAGCCTAATGAGACATGTTGAAGTTCTTCCTTTATAATATATTAAGAATACTAACCGTTTTCTTCACTTGTTAGATGTCTTTCAATTTCAGACTCCATAATGCTTCATTTTTAACAATGAACATCACCTCACTATACAGTATATTGTCATTCCCCATAATAACAGCCCACAGCTCTTTTATCTACCCTTGACATCTTTGCTCCTCTAAAAACTCAAACCATCTCCATCTCTTGCCCTGCCCCGGGTACAACAACCATCTGCGATCTATGAAGGCAGCCTCCCTCAAACTTGAGCGTCTTATTGGGCTAAATGTACATTATCAGGCTTGGAGAGATTACTTGTCTGAATATAAGGTTACAATAGTGTCTTGTAGATCCACCTACTTCTCTTACATCATTGAAAATTACCATAAAAAACCCAGACATCTTTTCTCCACCATCAACAGTTTGCTGAGGCCAAACTGCCCCACCACATTACCTGCCTCATTGCAACTTTGCAACACATTCTTTGATTTCTTTAACTCCAAGATTGACAACTTTGGTACCACATTCTCTCCACTACGCATATCATTTCCATACCACCTCCCTCCTTATCCAACTTTTCTGGTTCCCTTCTCTCCAACTTCTCTCTTCTTGACTAAGCCTACCTCAATAAACTAGTTACACACATGAAACCCACCACATCTATTTTAGATCCCATTCCCACCAGTTTATTTCAGTCCTGTTTCTCTTCTCTCTGTTCCATTGTCCTTAATATTATAAATGAATCCTTGAGCACTGGCGTTGTACCAATGGTCCTCAAAACGGCTGCCATTAACCCTGTACCAAAAAAGCCTAACATGGCTCTGGACAATCTAAACAATTTTCGCACAATCTCCAATTTACCCTTTCTTGCAAAAATTCTAGAACGTGCTGTCACATTTCAGTTACAAAATCACCTCATGGCAAATTACCTTTTCAAACCCCCCCAATCTGGCTTCCGTCAACTTCACAGCACAGAAACTGCCCTGGTCAAAGTCACTAACAATCTTCTAATAGCTTCTGATTCTGGTTCTCTTTCTAAACTCATTCTTCTTGATCTCAGTCCTGCTTCTGACACTGTTGACCATGACATCGTCTTGAGGCTGTGTTTGGAGTTTCTGACACTGCTCTAAAATGATTTAAGTCTTACCTCACTGATCGCTGTCACTTTGTCTCTCTTAATGAGTATAGGTCTGAAATTGGTCGTGTTAAGTCTGATGTTCCTCAGGTGTCAATACTGGGCCCCTTGCTCTTCAGCATTTACATGTTTCCACTTGGTGAGCTTTTAAGATCACATGGTCTCAGCTATCATTTCTATGCTGATGATACTCAAATGTACATCCATACCAAACCTGACACTGATGTGGCAGTCTCTATTCTATCTAATAGCATCTCTGACATAAAAACTTGGATGACTCAAAATGTCCTTCATCTTAACTGAGACAAGACTGAAGTCATGTTTATTGGCACCCCTCATCAACTTTGTAAAGCCAATCCTGTAACCCTATCTGTAGATGGTTCTGTACTTGAGCTTCAATCTCAATAGACAAACATTGGGGTGATATTTGATTCTGGATTAACATTCGACCCTCATATACAGCATACAGTCAAAATATCTTTTTTTCACCTCAGAAATATCGCTAGACTTTACCCTATGCTATCACTAACTGTGGCTGAAAAACTGATCAACACATTTGCGTTCTCCCAAATTGACTACTGTAATGCCTTAAACTTTCTGGGGTATCTAAATCTACTTTGAACAAACTGTAATATGTCCAAAATTCGGCAGCCATAATCCTGACCAGGTTTAGTGCAAGTAATCACACAGTCCTATCCTGTAATCCTTGCACTGGCTTCCTGTCAATTTCTGTGTAGACTTTAATATCCTCATGCTCACCTATAAGGCTCTGCATGGCTTGGCACCTCAGTACCTGTCTGAACTATTATTGCCCTACTCCCCACTTCGCAACCTTCGCTCTTCTAATTCTGGTCTCCTAACTGTCCCCCAAGCCGTCTACATTCTATGGGTGACAGGACCTTCTCTTGTTATGCCCCCAAGCTGTGGAACTCTCTCCCCAAGATTATCAGAGAGTCACCTTCTCTAAACTCCTTCAAATCCATACCAAAAGTATTCTTAAAACAAAATCACATCGCCATCTCTCAATCGCAGGGAAACAGGAGCCAGTCCAGGAAGTTTTATAATTTACTGTACATATTTAAGCATTTTACTTATTTTAGGAATTCATCTCCCAGATTTCTATTCTATATTCGGTTTTACCTTCCATGCCCCTTCTCACACGGTTTTTTTCATTTTGTTCTCTTTATCTACCCCTTTGCTTCCTAACGTCTCCTATCCCCTCTATGACATGCTTGAACGTGAAGAGCACTTTCAGCAATAGGCTGATCCAACCATGACAGGGAGCACTACAGAAGATATTTCTTGCCTTCTGCCATAAGACTTCACAACTCATCCACTGTGTGTCTGGACAGGGACAACATGGATCGGTTTTTGGACTAAACATGAATTCTCTGTTTACAGCTGGTTTTTCTGTTAACAACTGATGTGCAATATATGCTTGTGGATTTGTGCAATATATTTATAATGTGCAATACATCTTCTTGTGTACTGTACATTCTGGTTTGTGTTTTAGCTCTGTATTGTGTGCAATTCTGTGTACCCAATTTTGTTACTGCACTTCTCACTGACTGTTACTGCATTGTATTGTTGTATTATTGTATCATTTTGTTACACTGTGGTGTGTTGACTGTGCCTGGCTGCTGTTGCACTGCAATTTCCCTCATGGGATTAATAAAGTATCTATCAATTCTTGTGCTCTTTCTCTCTTCCTCACTCCTGAAAAAGGCTCCACAGTTGAACCATTGCAGTTTTTCTTTCTACGTTTAAGGGAGTAGAAATATTAAATGTAATCTTTATTACTTTATAATAACTTGGTTCAGTTTCTATATTCAGTTTATACAGAGCATCAATTATAAGTGATTTAATTTTGCAGTAATTTGTAGCTGCTTAAAGTGTTTTACTAAATTTGCAAACACTTAATCGTTTACATATCACAATGATCTACAGCTTAAAAGCACTTCACACTTCATCACACTTTACTTTAGAAAAACAAAAGAGGTCCACCATCTTATGATTCAAGACTCACTTAATATTCTTTGCAGAGACAGTTAATAAGTGATGTCATACTGTATATGTTAAGATATTTAAGTACAGAACTGTAAATTCTTGTTATTTCTCTTTTCAGACTTAGAAAATAGAATCCAAGATCTTAACAAGAAAAAAGAAGATAAAGCTAATGAAATTGCCAATCTAGAAGAAGTAATTCAAGCAATCAGGAAAGAACTCCTAGACCGTGGAAGAGGATACAACACCTGTTAGCTTAATCTACAACAAAGCTTATAAAATGCCCCATTGCAGCTAATCTTTCCTCATGTTGTTATACTTATCAATATTGTATTTTTTCTACTGGCTATTGTTGAAAATGAATTATCAAGCTCATGCAATTAGAAATGTAATCTATAATACTAACCTTCTAGGCTAAAAATAAAATTCTTTTCAGTTAAGGGGTGTTGTTTTTATAGTGGAAGATTTTTTTTTGTTGTGAAAAATGTTTAGCTTAGTGTCACATGAATAAAATGCTTCATTAAGATAATTAATGTATTAATTTTAATACAGTCCACTGAAAATACACCATTTTGGGTAGCCATGCATATTTTGGCACAATATTGTGGAAATACTTGTTATCCAAATAATTGGAACACTTTTTTCAGAGACCACTAATCACTCTATGAAGTTTAATTTGCAGTATGTGGCTTTACACATAATTCTTTCACCTGACCTACCCTCAGAAGGTTAGTTATTGATTGAACCTTATCTAGTTGAGAGGTACTCAAATACAGTAGCAAAGGAGATATTAAATTTGAAATCGTGAATTAAACTATAAAATTAGGAATTATTGCTGCAGTAACTAAAGTTACTAAAGAAATTCACACCTTCACACCTTCCCCCATTATCTCAACAACAGACTCGTTTCCTTCTTATCCTCTTTATTCATTTGCAGGTTTCGACTTCACACCTCTCTTCACCACTCTTGAATTCGCACCACCTGAGTGCCCTGTCTACCTCTCTCCTGCTCCTCTACACTCCTGGCTTTTGTTCTCTTACGATATATAATCTCTGCTGACTTCCCTGTCTTTCTCACATCAGAAGAAGACTCCACAGCCGAAACATTGTGTTTGCTTTCTTCTCTTTTCAGCATGGAATAAACTTGCTTGTTCCTTTACGTAAGGTTTTATAATACATTCATGTCCTGTGTACACTTTGCTTTGCCAGAGAGTGTAGTCTTCCCACATGGCATGATGTTAGCACTACTGCTTCCAAACTCTTGGATCCAGTGTTTGAGTCCTGCATTACATGATGGGAAGTTTTAAAGTTCTGCTTTTGTTCACATGGGTTTTCCCTGGCTACTGTGTTTTCCTGATAAGCATCTCTAAACTGTCTCTATAAGTACAGTACTATACATGCATGTGTATTTATACTGTATGTATGTATTGCAATGGACTGGTACACCATACAGAATGTAGTGTTATCTTATTCCCTGTGTCTGCTTGGTTACGTTCTGACTCTCCATGATCCTCCAAGGATAAAAAGGTAACTGAAAAAGGATGGATGGCAAAAAAAATTCATACTGTGAAAGAACAAATAGGGAATTCAAAGATACTCATCTTTTAATTCCCCATACTCAAATTTATGTTTTTATTTTTTAGATTTTTTCACATGGAAAATTGGCAATGTCACTGCCTTTATGATTTGTAATTTTTGAAAAAGCCATAAAAAACGTCAAGACATTGACTAGAAGGAACAATTACAAATACTGTACTGTATGTTGGTGTGGTGCTACTAGGTCCCTTGAACTGCATGAAAGGGCATGTTTTGTTTTGTTTTATGTGTAATACACTTAAGACAAAAAAGAAATGACATATGCGTACAGCTGTCCAAGTTAAAAACAGGCAAACTCAAATGGTAATCTGAGTAAGAAGTGTCTTATGCTCCTGAATAAACATTTTAAAAAATAATCATTATAAGCAGTATTAACAAGCTTTACTGTTTTTTGTCCATTTTTGGACTAACTAAATACTTAATTTTAATTGTGTCATACTCTTACTTAAAAAACTGTGTGCCATAGTTTTATGGGATTTATTTTGTATTATAACAGCCTATCAATTTTAACATTTTCTTTTGCATGAATCAAAATATCTTTCAGTTTTCCTTTATTTTGCTTGAAAGTTTACTGAGAAACCTGACCCCATTGAAATGTCCATGCAGCCCCAGAAAAAACAGATTTAGAACCTCCCACTTTAAGCTCTAGTTGTGCATTCTGTAGTAGTAAAACACTGCCCTTGAGGTCTTTCACATTTCATTCATCCATTATCAGGTAAGGGTCAGAGCAACCTATCTCAGAAGGTTCAGGTTGCATTGCATGCACTACAGTCCACTAATTACCCCCACATTCGTTTAGAATGTAGGAGGAAGATGGAGCACCTGAAGAAAACCCTTGTTTACCTGGGGAGAACATGCAAACTCTACTCTGGTGGTACATCATTGTAGAATTGAACATAGGACCCGGAAATTGTAGGCAGGAGTGCTTATTGTCCTACTTCCATGCCTCCCTTTCCACATCTTAATATTTGTACCACACAGTCTGTACTGTAAGTCCGAAGTGCTCTGACTCAGCAAGGATTAATTAAGAACTCTAATCAAAATGTTTATTGAATATAGTGAATTAAAAAAATCGGGTATGTGTGAATAATGTTGGCTGACCTTATTATTTGTCAAATAAAAAACTGTGTATCATGAAGTAATTGAGAGTACTCTTTCTTCTTATGGTAATACAGTGAAAAACACACCGGCTTCTATGGTTTTTTTATATTGTAAGCTACAGTATGCAATAAAGCCAAATAACTTTCCAAATTCTATTTCTAAAGTCTATAATTGGTATATATCAAGCAAATAATATTTTTTGAAGGCCTAATTATAAGTACTGAATTTTTTTTTCAAATTTTGCTTTTTCAGATTGAAAAATAAAAATGGCATCCAATTATGGCTGAAATCCTTTGGGGCATATTATTCAACCTTCCCTTGTTGGTAGAATGTCTATACTTCAGTCTTTCATTTACAGTTCTGCCTTTGAGGACCACATTCTGCATCCTTCTTTTATTTTGTAAGTTTATTTCAAATTCCAAATGATAGATGGAGGTTAAGACTGGTTACCAGGTCTTAGCAATCAACTCTATCTAACTTGTGACATACTTCGTGACATGACCTACTGTATGATTTTAGTGCAATAGTACTTAGAATTCCAGTAACATGGAATTGTAAAAACCTATAATTTCAAAACACATTTCCCAAAAGGTTTACCCAAGGCTACACATCTCATAAGGCACTCAAACAAAAGCAGTTTGCAAATGTCTGTTAATGAAATACAACCTCACTCCAGGAGCAAACATCTGTAACAACGCAATCAGGATGAAATGGCACAAAAACTATTTTTACACAGATAGCACTAGGAGCTCCAAAACCCTTAAAGCAGTAAAAAGTAATGAAATACAGATGTTTTTTTAAGCATTTATGGAATTAATTTAATTATTCCTCACCTTTAAGCTTAGTTGATGCCTCGATACTTTATGGCCTTCTCAATTCACAGGTAAATTAGATTTAACATATTAAATTACATTTGATTCGCAACCTTAAACTGTCAATCAAAGAAACTTGAGTGAAAAAGATTTAAAGAACAATTAATCTAGCATTTAAATATATTTTTTAATCAGTTTCTTTGGAGTTTGTTCAACTGGCAAACGTTAGGTTTTACATGTAATTTCTTTCGCTTGATCAAATATTTCTGCCGAATATTCAATACTCCATCTTTTTTCCATTCTTGTTTTTAAAGTTGGTCTTAAGGAAGAAAGGCTTTTTCTAAATTTACATTACTTGAAACCCTTTCATGTAGTTGTCTTCTGTGTGATCGAGAAAATCTGTTATAGACTGGTGGCGGTAAACTGAGGAACTCTGCAGACATTTTATTTTCCATTTCTAAAGGAAAAATATATTAAGTTGTATTTTTTTATGTAACCCTTTTACATTTTTTACTTTTTAGCATATTTTTAATTGAGGAATACGCTGTGGTGAAAATGATTGGTTACGAGACAAAGGATAAATAGAAACAGGAGAGAAGCAATAAAAATAATATTAAGCATGCATTCTTTTCCAAACAAAAACAGAAAAATGTGTTGCATTTTGTTTTTGGATATTATCATAGAAATCAAAAGATATCAGATTGGAATGATACAGCTTATGCTTAATGTGGTAAGTCAGTGGTCATAATTTTTACTACTACAGCAAATTCTTATTGTAGGATAAGCAGAACCTCAAAGTACTACTAGGAAAAGGTCTTTGATAATGAAAATATTTTACAGGATTTGCAAATTGAAGGTCTAAAACCAAAAGGGCACAAACAAGAAACATCAGGGGAAAAAACTAATTTTGCAGACTTTATGAAGAACTTATTAATTTAATTATTGGCTCAATTTATTCAACAAAACAACTTTTCTCCCAGTTATTATCTGCAGTTTTTTCAGAAGGTGTTTTCTGTGTATTTCAAAGATGGTGAAAAATAAATGCATTTTGGGAGTTAAATTTAACATCTATCCTGAAGGCTAGTTTTTAAAGTAAAAAAATGAAAAGACAAAGTTCTTCTGGCCAATGATGGCTCCATTTTGTATAAATGCCTTAATTGACACAGTCACAGTTTATTTCACAAAGAGTTTTTTGTTTTCACGAAAAAATGCCATAGTTGTCTATTGCCACGCTTGAGCTTCAGGCACATTCCAACGCAAACGCGTACGGTAGCGAAATATTTTGGGATAAACAGGTTAGATTAAAGCAAACTATGTTTTTAAAAGACAGTTGATAATCAGTGAAAAGATTCTTAAAAAAACATCTTTAACATTAATCTAATCCGGGCTTCGAGAGACAAGACCTACTGTACCGCATGGTTCTCGGTATCATCAAATTAATAAGTGAGGTCCTCCAAACATAATTCTGTTTTATTCTAAACTGCAGATTTTTAGTATTTAAAATATACACTTAGTGAATGGTTATTTCCCCCACAGTGATTCCATTGTAGGTATGTTTATCTTTTCTACAGTGTTTTAATATTGGAAGACATGAAAGTCATGCATTTACTTTGAAGCACAAAAACTATTCTAATAAATGTTCATTAGACTGCACTTTTCTAACTACTATCAGTTACACATCCTCTTAATAGAGCAGGAAGGATGGGCAATTACAAAAATTCTATGAGCATTTTAGGGAGCTTTTTTTGCGTCCTGTGCCATTTTCAGGGGACTATTCGGGGGTAATTAACTCTTCTTTTCCCAGTGCCTCAGGGGAGGGGCATTGCTTTGTTTTACTGGAAAGATTTCTTTGTTTTAAACAGAAGGTGGTGGGGGGTTGGTACCTCTTTGTGGCTTAAACTCTTAATTTAATTTTTCCTCAGATGTTTTCCGCTGGTTATATTTGGCGAGCGTTATTTTTATATTATTCCTTTGATCGTCTACTTACAACTGTTTAGGATAAATTCTAGAAGTGAAGAAGAACATCTGATTTCAAATGCTTTTGTTTACTTTCTATGTAGAGCTCAACATCCTTTGTAATTAAAAACACTGGGCATTCTAATATGTATTTTTAGATCAGTAACAGTAAGCGCATGCCGTGCGACAATTAGTCGGTACTATATCGGTAAAAGTAAAACAGTATATCACGGTTAAATATCGAAGTCAAAACATGAGTAACAGTTAAGAGCAGTAGAATTACTAAAGCACAGCAAATATATAACCAGGAGTTGGAGATATGAGGCTACAATTTGTTCTATCTGTTGCTCACAGTATGATATGTACTTAATGTGGTATTTACAAATTTGACCACCCAGTGCGCATGCTCTAAAGATAGTAAAACTAAAGTTACAGTTGCGCTGCCTCAGTCTTCCAGCGGTTACAGTGGGAAGTCGTGTGGGATGTGAAACTGGCGAGGACACCCATCGTTTTAAGATTTAGTACACGCCGTATCAAAACATTTTAAATTTGTCTTCCTCAGCTGAGTACAAGGTCTTGAAGAATTGAGACCGAGTACGAAGTTAATGCTTTAAAAGTTTTCAAAATGATGCTTGCAGTCGGAGCAATTTTAGGTAAGTTAATAAAAACAATCATCTTACATTGCATCAAAATATACCAGGAAAGCAAACTCATAAAGTCAAAGACCTCTTAGAATATTATTCTTATTAATTTTCTTATCAACAGACAAATTCCAAGCACCCCAAATGTTAGTTTATTCGAAATAAAAGTTAGTGAGTTAGTCTCAAATAGTTGATTCTGGAAAGATATTTGTAATTTAGTAGTTATTGTATATACAGTAATTATAATTCCATGTTCCGTGTGGAAAACAAATATACCCGCCTTTCAGAAAACTATTTTGCTTTCGTATTTTATGTTGGAAGGACATATTTTTATAAAGAATGTGTTGTCCATGAATTTATCAGAACAGCCTCATTTCTTTACCCATGATTTTTGGATTGTGAAGAAAATGGCACCATATGATTTGAATTATAATTTGTGCAATAACAGGCTAGGAAGTTATTTATTTTCGTGTGTTGTTCGTGCTTATGAGATAGAATAAAAATGATAGCATTCTGTTTGTTAAAGAAAATGCAAGTATTTGATTTTCTTTTTATGCCATTACTTAATAACACTACTGAAAAAAGTCATTAAAATTGTTTTGTGTTTTCTTATGATCATTATTGCTGCTGTTCATGTTTAGCGCAATTTGAGATCTTCTTACAAATGCTTTTACTGCTCGGTTCTTTAATTCTCAATGCTTTTTAACCAACATCTGCAACTGTTCAGATGTACAAAACAATGATTTTTTTACAGATTTGTTCTTACAAACATTTTCTCTTTTCCTATGTCTCAATAGCTGTGTGGGTCCCTGCTCTCGCCCAGGTTCCAGAGTTCAGCGATGTCTGCAGGGAAGGAAGCTGTTACCCGGCCACCGGTGACTTGCTGATAGGGAGAGCTCATCAGCTTTCAGCTACTTCGACCTGCGGACTCTTGAAGCCTGAGCCCTTTTGCATTGTTAGCCACTTGCAGGTATTGTGTGAATTAACGTTACAAAACGGATACAACTTTCTTAGAACTGCAGATACCGTTAACTTAACGGCTAGCTCAAGTTAAGTGGGAATCGTTTAGTATAACCCCCTAGGACTCAGATTAAATGCTCTAATGCATTTTCAGAAGCAAAACAAAACGTTTCACGTAGTAGAGGAGAACTCTCCCGTGGGCATTTCTACATGAATGATTAATCACTGTTAAAACTAGAACTCCTCACTCATGGCATAGGTGTGTGTTTTCTTTTTAAACATTTTAGCAAAAACTGAGAATGAAAGCCTAGGCCAGTTTGTTTTCTAGTTTCATTTAGCTTTTTCCCAACAATATGGAAATGTTACAAACTATAATTTAACTCTGTATCCTGAAGCAAAATGAGCTCTGTATTCTGACAGAAGAAATCTGGTTTATAGTTGGCTTCTTTCTGTGTTTCCTGGTGTTATTTATTTTTGGGATGCTTTCCAAAGCCCCCTGGGGTCTTTCTAAAACAATCTCTTCTTATGGGAAGTTTTTTTTCTTCCTTTTTTTCTTCTTAGCAATATGTGTCCTTATTCTTTTAATCATTTGGAGACAGAAGGGAAGATCAGATGGGAATGGTCTTTTCATTGTGGGTGTCTAGACAGCTTCCTGATAAGTTAATGGAAACCACAAGATTAAATACAGAGGTTTAGAGGAATTTTTTAATGCTTTCAGCTAATATAATTACATTTAAAAGACTTATTCATTACATACAGTACATTTGTGTTTTACAAAAGTAAATATCAAAAAGGGGGGTGTAAAGAGAGTTTACATGAATTTAAAACAGTTTTTCCAGAAGGCATAGATACTTAATGTAGACTGAATTATACAGTAACTTGCACCAATTCTCTGTTAGACTTCTCCAGTAGTAAGTTCTTTGAGAATTTTACGTTTCCTTATGGGGCTAGTTCAAATACAATCTACTGTTTCTTTTCTGTCTGGCTTTGAAAGATTTTTACAACAAGTGGAGGAATATCTAAGGCAGGAGATTTTTGGGATATTTAGATCTAGGAAAAATACATTTAAGAATTATTTCAGTAAAAATATAAAACTAATTAAATTACTTTTAATTTGTGAAAATTTTTTTGAGCTGAAACCTTTATAACATTTTGCTTATCATATGGAAAATACTGTGTATATCTACCATATCTAAAAAATAACATATTTCCTTAAAAATAAATGATTATTAGAATAAACACCATGATATACCTTGAAGAAAATGACAGATTTATTTCTTTCTGCCTTTTAATCTTGTGTTGTCCTGCTCGCTCTAGGAAGAAAAGAAGTGCTTTGTCTGTGATTCTAAAAAACTGTATGATGAATCTACAAACCACACCACCAGCCATCGTATCGAGAATGTGGTCACAACTTTTGCTCCTAATCGTTTGAAAACCTGGTGGCAGTCTGAAAATGGTGAGTTCACATGGGAAAATAAGATGTAATACAGACTCTTGGTATGAATTAAAGGCATCTTGTTCCAGGTCAGCTTTCTACAAGGTGTTGTTAGTTAACTCTTTTATCAAGCACAGGCATTGACTGGGGTCAAATTCAAAGTGAAAAGTAATGGCTAACCGATACACAAAGGACCTACTTATCCACTTTAAGATTTACAGTTAAACTGCCGATAATAATTATCTTGAAGACCCTCAGAAAACATCTGTTAATCTGCACACTATTGACAATGTATTATTAAAATAAATGCCTAAAATGTAGGATAAATGCATGCTGCATACATTTCAATTACTGAGTGTAAAATTTAATTTTAAGCTAGCTGAGAGGAGCAAAAGAGGTTTGTTTCTTTTAATTTTACAAAGTTAAAAAAAACTCATGGGAATGTAAACTTGAGGCAGGGATGGTGTGATTCATCATAAAGATGTTGGCAGCAAGTACTACAGATGTATCCAGTTATGCACTGGAACCAATTCAGAATTTGCATTTTTTGGCTGCTGTCCACTAACGGAACTCCAGCAGAATGAATTTTATTAATGACCTTTTTTAATAATTTAAGAATTGCTTTGTGAGAAGCAAACACTTTGTTTTTATTATCAGTAAGATAGAAGACAGAAAAAATGTACTTAGAAAGGAATGATATCAATTTAAAACATATTTGTGCAAATCCCAGTTTCCCAGTGTTCCTTGTTAAATAGGCATTGTGTGTCAAAAGCTCTTGGATGGGCCATTGTCGGATAATGTGTCTTAGTATCATCAGTTGTACATTTACCATCTTACAGAATGAGATACGTATTCATTTTCTAGAGACTTTTTATTTTTAGAATGAATATTGAAGTTATAAATAATTACATTATTTTGAAAGGTATAGTTTAGATTATGAAAGATGGTTAAGATTCACAGAAACATTAAATAGTGTTCATTCAAGTGAATTAAATTTTACAGCACAAATGTAGTTTCTGCTCAGGAAGCTCATTGAAACAGGATTACACAGCTGTCCTAGCTCATATTTTACTTGGCTGATAAACATTGTGCACACAGATGTTTCTGTTTTCGTCACATTTTTTTCAACTCCCTTCAGGCATAGAAAATGTAACCATCCAGCTGAATCTGGAGGCGGAATTTCATTTCACTCATCTCATTATGACGTTCAAGGTAACAGGGTGTCTTTTGTCAAGAAGTTAATTAGCACAGTTCCCCTTGCATACGTTTCCAGCTGTTGATAAGACCCTGTAGAATGTTTCACCATAGTGAAGCAAGTTCCACACTACTTAAAAAGTGCTTTGAAACACATAGTACTCAAAAACAGTTCAGAGGCTGGTTCCAGCTGTCTTCTGTGGTGCAAAGTGGATTTCTTTTTTAACAAATGTGACTGTTTTGTTCTACAGTAACTACCCTTAGTGTTTCTACACTTGGTGAAATACAGCTGAGCTGGGCAGCAAAATGCTAATAGTTTAAGTCTTTTAAATAAAAGTGTTCATATTGTGCTATATTTGAAGTGTACCTCTGATGTTAATGGTGTGCTGTGTTTGTTTCATGTTAGACATTTCGTCCTGCTGCAATGGTGATTGAACGGTCCTCTGATTTTGGGAATACCTGGCAAGTGTATCGTTATTTTGCTTATGACTGCGAGTCATCTTTCCCATCTGTCTCACGAGGACCTATGAAGAAAGTTGATGATGTAATATGTGACTCTCGATATTCAGACATTGAGCCTTCTACAGAAGGAGAGGTTTGTTGAATTACTTCAGTTTTAACAGTGCTTATATAAGATCATACAGTATATAATGCCGTTGTGAGTTTTTGAGGACAAAAATAAATCATACAAATTGTTATGTGAATGTAATTTATTGTGGTCTGTACTATGAGCATTTCAAATAAATGTTCTTCTGTGTTTTTTTTTTTGTAGGTTATCTTCCGGGTTTTAGATCCTGCATTTAGAATCGAAGATCCTTACAGCCCCAGAATCCAAAGTACACTTTTCATTTTTTAAGTTAATGTCTATTGTTGTATTACATTCTACTCATTGAAGTAAAATTTTATTTAAAAATGTGGGCTACTTCACATCAATAATCAGTAACTTCTGATTCATTAGTGGGTTTTTAAAATCTAGTAAGGGGCAATATTTCTGTAAAGTGTGTTCTTCTCTGATAATATTTTTCATTCCTGACTCTTAACTTCAGGAAGAAAGAGGTATGCTTATCAGGATGTTTTTAGTTAGAATCAAGAAGATGAGTGATTTCACTCACTGTTACCTTCCAGCTTTTATTCTAGTTGTGACCTTATGCTCCCAACCCAGCTGTAGCAACACAAATGGTATGATGGTAGCATTATAATTTTTAAGACATGATTAAAAACACTTCTGAAAGGCATTCCATTCAAATCTTAATCTGATATTATGATAGCTAATGCTTCTAGTGGTGAGTGAAACAGTGTATTGAAAAGTGTTATTTTTAGCTTTCCAACTGTAGTAGACTGCCCAAGAATTTTCTTAAGAATTTTCTTAAATGACAAAGCTTAGCTTAGTGTAGTTATTTTTTCATATTTTCTTTTCCACCCTTTAAGACATGTTGAAAATCACAAACCTAAGGATCAAGTTTACAAAAGTACATACGTTAGGAGACAACTTGCTGGACTCCAGAATGGAAATTAAAGAGAAGTACTACTATGCTATCTATGACATGGTTGTGCGTGGGAACTGCTTCTGCTATGGTCATGCCAGTGAATGTGCCCCTGTAGATGGTATTGGAGAAGATGTAGAAGGAATGGTAAGCTGACTTGATTTTGACCATTAAGACCATGATATTTTGTCTTTTTTGGAAACATTTTTAAAAAGTCTGAATTACATTCTTTCAAAAACATATATGTGGCAGAGCAGACACAAAAGAAGTCTCATGTGTACAAACAGAACTACAAAGTTCCTGTTTAGTCTTCAGCATGTCATGTTTACACAAAGCCTGCACCACATGATGTTCCAAGGCCTTCGTGACTTTCTTGACTACAGACTTTCTTGAATGAGGCAAAGAAAATAATTGTAGGCTTTGGTCTTTCCTTCATGTCAATCAGAGAAAAGTACACAGGATATTGAATAGCAAGTTCTTTATCTTCATATCATTATTTTGTCTTGTGTAGAGTGTGTATTAGAGATTTCGTAAAAAGAATTGACTTAATACTTGAAGACTGAAAATGTACACTGCCAAACGAACATCTTAGACATTGCACAGTTCTACCCTTGTTTTTCAATCTCTGTACAGATTCATGACTTTAGGATGTTCTTGTATGGTGATTGTAGTTATTTTGTTTTAAACAAGCAATTAAACCTAAAAGATGTGTATTTTTACAGTAAGTAAAGAAGATTATCTTTATGATGATTATTATGATTATTACCATTAAAATAACAACTGACAATGAGTCAATGAAATGTAAATGTGATGGATTAGCCACTGCCACATGTATTATTGGCTGTTCATGTAAGGTTTACCTCAAGTTTTAATGATCATGTTTTTGAAGGTTATGATCAATGTGAATGAAATGTTTTGGCTTAGTTTCCTCTCACACAAACTAAACTGCATTCATAAATAGTAGAAAACAGCAGTGAATGCTTTGAGTAACTTGTTGACACTCTTAATATGCATATATTGCACCTCCTAACTGTATCAAAGATGTCTGGAGATGTTTGCATAACAGTGTAGTTTTGCAGTAATAAAAGATAAAAAATATTATTTTGTCAATAAAACTAATAAAACCATTTGCTTAAAGTTTCAGCTTTATATGCCTCTGCAACATTATGGTATTTGTAAAAACATTCTTAGCGCAGCACAATTAAAGTGAATGTATATAGGGTAAATTGTAATTGTTTCTGTGTTTTTCCAGGTACATGGGCATTGTATGTGTAATCACAACACCAAAGGTCTGAATTGTGAACAATGCAAAGACTTCTATCATGATTTACCCTGGAGACCAGCTGAAGGACGCAATACCAATGCCTGCAAAAGTATGTTTATCACGCCTACACTCCTGACTGAAGAATGTAAAGAATTTAATACCAATACAAGAGTGCATTCATTCATAATGAAATACATATGTTTTACTGATAGTGGCACATGATATTAATTATATGTGCAGAAGATGTATAATAAAGCCCTTATTGAAACATTGTTAAGACAACCTCAAGAACAGGATGGAAACTGTGAATCTTGTAATAAGTGGAACACATTCACCCAATAAGGCCTAATAATAAATTGCATTTAGGAATGTTGTTGAGTAATTGGGCATAAGAAGCTTTGACGTAATGTGCTTTTCTGAGCAAGCGTGTCTGAGGGTTAACTGTCTCGTAATACAAGGAGGTTATAACCCCAGTGTAGAGTGAGAAGTTGGCCAAAAGGTAGCTGCACAATTGAAGATTGGGTGAAGGATGGAAATAGAATGACAAATGCAAAAAGAAAGGTTCTTTACAGTTTTTTGACATGCAGTGTTATGAAGGATTCAGTTAGAGTAACATAGGGAATGCAAAGTTGGTTGCTGCCACACCTCCCAAACCTGTTAAAACTCCCACCAGATGAAAGAAGTATATTGATTTGTGTAGGAAATGTCTTTACATAATATTTGCACACCATACATAGAAACTCTTTGGAAAAAGTGTATAAAGCCTTTTCCCATCTGCTCCATTCTTGCTGCATGATCAGCTGCTGTCTACATATTGGAAATGTTTTTTTTCCTTAACATTTGTGGAAAGCAGGAGTTCAAGGGTTTGATATGTAGGCATGTTTAGGTTGTTTTGGGTCTGAATTCTAAAAACTAAATGTTAAGTTATTAAAAGGAAATAACTCAGCATTATTAAGTGAATGTAAGTATAATACTACAAGGAGTACACGGGGAAATTGACCTGTTATATAATAATAATGATTATGCATTTTTTTCCTTTAAGATGTGTAAATATCTGTTTTATATTTACAGAGTGTAACTGCAACCAGCATTCCAACATCTGCCATTTTGATATGGCAGTTTACATGTCCACTGGGAATGTCAGTGGGGGAGTGTGTGACAATTGCCAACACAATACCATGGGACGCAACTGTGAACAATGCAAGCCTTTTTATTTCCAGCATCCAGAGAGAGACATTCGTGATCCTAACATTTGTGAACGTAAGTCAATAGTATTATCCCTCAAGTGTAAGAGGAAGGGAGATGTTTGTATTTCATAGTTCATAGTGCGTGACAGAATTGGGTAGCACCTGGGCTTTCAAGATTTATCTCAGACTACAGAGGGGACTTCTAAGCAGACCAAGCCCTCAGCAACATTAACATTTATTTTGGTCAACATGTACATGCTACATACAGATTAATTTGTAAAAATGTTATTTTCTTAGACTGAAAACTTTTTTTTTCCTCTCTAGAATGTAATTGTGACCCCGTTGGTTCTCTCAATGGTGGAATATGCGATCGACACACTGACGTCTCCTCTGGTCTCATTGCTGGACAGTGTCGTTGCAAGCCCAACGTAGAGGGGGAACGTTGTGATCAGTGTAAACAAGGATACTATGGAATAAGTGATGACCCACTGGGGTGCCAGCGTAAGAATCATTAGTGTTTTCACTTTTTAATTGAATTGGTATTTTGCAGGTGTTTAACAAGAAATGTGTAATGCCCTGCACATCATTATTAAATTACTCAGTGGTCTTAATGTGTCTTCATTTTATAGCTTGCACGTGCAATCCTCTGGGAACTGTCCCAGGAGGAAGTCCATGCAATGTAGAGACAGGAAACTGCTTCTGCAAACGCTTGGTAACTGGGAGGAACTGTGACCAGTGTCTGGTACGTTATCTGTCTCTCTTGTCTAAAATTGTTTTACAATTGGACAATGTATTTTTATTACAGCTGTTTACAATTTGTCTTCAGGAAATCAGTGAGTACTGTGTATTTGATCAAGTCCATTTATTAGAAAACCAAAAATTGAATAGAAAGTGCCGTGTGAAGATCATATTGCACGGATATCTCATTTTGAGTGTTCTCAAGCAGATGAAGCTGTTAGGGAAAAATGTTGGGTACCCTTAATTTGTTCTGTGTGGATAATCAGGGTTAAGTGGTATGCAGATTATAAGTTAACATAAAGTTTCTCACAAAACGTTTACAAAGACTACGACCATAACTCGTACCAGTTTTGTGACACCAGGGTTTGCATGCAGTGGGCATACCAAAAATAGTAATTATCCATTGTTAGATCCTTGAATTCGACTAAAAGTGTGCACTTGTCACCCCATACTAGCCTAAGAGGGTAGTATAGTTGGTAACCAGTAATGAAATTAGTTAAGAATTCACATTTTGAAAAACTGTAGTACTTGCTGGATATAAAGGGACTATGATGTACTTAAGGGAAAGTTAACTTTTTGCAAGTGCAAAACGTTACTCAGTGAAAAGGCTGTATAAGCAGGGAGGGTTTCTGACATTGATTTGGTTCAGTAAGTATCGATGTTTTTTCATATCAGATTGACAGTGGTAATGATTTATAATCCAACAGGCACAGCACTGGGGATTGAGCAATGATATGGATGGATGTCGCCCATGTGACTGTGACCAAGGGGGAGCTATCAATAACGAGTAAGGACAAAGTTCAATTCAGATTCGGACTTCCTTCTGTCTTTTCAGTATTGTACAAAACTTAATATTTATTTATGAATAGACCTAATCTACATTTTAGTTACTGATATTTCAATCGTGTTTGTACCCTAAATGTTTTTTTTTCTTTCTGGCTCTAAATCAAGAGTCTGTGATTTCCAATGATTTTCGAACTAATCAGTAAGAATGGATTAAAGTCAAGATGTTTCCATTAATAGCTAGAAGATATTATTAATAATAATTAGATGACAACAAGATTCTTGACCCATATTGAATCCAACTCTAATGATAGTTTAACTAAAGTTGGCACAATTGTAGAGAAAGCAGAACCAGTCAGGAACTCTGATTCAATCTTTGGTCTTGTCAGAATTCAGATGGGTGAAAAAATGTTGCACTGATTTTTCAGTTTCAACTAGGTGGTGTGTTAGGCTGTATATTTGATTAATGTTAGGTTTCATAAATGGGCAAACATGCATTTGAGTGTCATGAGCAAATGAAAACTGATAACCATACCTAAGAACAATTTTAAAAGATAAATAAAGAGATTGGGCACAGAACAGAACCCTGTGAGACACCATATGTTACCACTTGTGTCAAGAAGGAACAATGCCCAATATTAACAAATAGTCATGAGCAAATAAAAACTGATAACCATACCTTAGAAGAATTTTAAAAGATAAATAAGATTGGGCACAGAACAGAACGCTGTGAGACACCATATGTGACCAATAGTGTCAAGAAGGAACAATGCCCAATATTAACAAATAGTAAAGGAAAGTAATAGGTTTATTCAATGCTGAAAAGAGAAGAAAGAAAACACAACGTTTCGGCTGTGTGCCTTCTTTGGATGTGAACAAATAGTTTACCAGTTAGGTTAGCTTTATAACAGGATAGATACACAATGAAACCACTAATCCCACAAACATGTAGTTAGCAATAATAAGTCACTTTATGAAGCAGAAGTTTCCTCCAATCAGCCGTATCTCATAAAGCCTGTATTATGGTAATTTATAAAATCTTTATAGCAACAGCGGTTTATGATAACTACCATATTAAAAGGAAAGATCTTGCTTCTCTATAAATAAGGGCCTATGCTGGTATAGTAGAAAAGTTTTAAGGTTAATTGTGATATTCTTTTGTAATCTTATTATGGAATAATTAATATTTCTATGTGAAATAGTCAATACACATTTCCTGTAAAGTATATCAGGAGATAGATTTTTTTTCTTCTTATAGTCATTTGAACCATCTAACATAAAGCTTTTTTCAAAATCAGTAGAGTCAGCAACTGCTACACAGTAAAATATAAATCAATTTTAAAAAAATCATAATAAATAATAAGCAGCAATAAGGTGATACCAGTGGTATTTTGAGGGAATAGTAGAATTTCAGTGGGCTTTTCTGAAGGTGTTTCCTTTTTGTCTCTCCTAGTTGTTCTGCAGAAACTGGACAGTGTCAGTGTCGTGATCACATGTTTGGACGCCAGTGCAGTGAAGTGGAATCTGGATTTTACTTTATTGCTCTGGACCATTACACGTATGAAGCAGAGGATGCCACCCTAGGGCCAGTAAGTATTTTATGTTATTATATTTCTGTTATTTGATAAACTCTTGTAACTTTATTTTCTAAAGCCTTTCTTTCTGTCACTAGGGAGTGACAATTGTACAGAGACCCTACCCTCAGGATCGGACACCTACATGGACAGGTATTGGGTTTGTGAGTGTACCAGAGGGAGCCTACCTGGAGTTCTACATTGACAACATCCCGCATTCTATGGAGTATGATATTCTGATTCGCTACGAACCTCAGGTAATACATTATGATTTCACTTAGCAAACATGAGCTGTGGGAAGCCTTCAAATACTAAAAAAACAAACAAATCATTGTTGTTCTCCTGCTGTTCTTAGTTACCAGACAAGTGGGAAGAGGTTGTTGTAAGAGTGGATCGTCCTAGCATAATTTCCACTGGGAGCAGATGTGTGAATACAGTGCCTGATGATGACAACCAAGTGGTGTCACTACCTCCAGGTTCCAGGTGTGTAATGTTCAGTATGGATCCCTAAGCACTTATAATTTAATTAATCTCCATATTTGATTTGCTTATTTCCTCTTTTTTAATCTGCATTTTCTTTCTTAGATATGTGGTTCTTCCAAGGCCTGTGTGTTTTGAAAGGGGACTGAACTATACAGTCCGTCTCAGCTTGCCTTTTTACTCCAATCTGAGCGAGATCCAGAGTCCATACACTCTGATTGATTCTGTGAGTTGACATGACTCAAATTATACTAATAAATCATTAAACATTACATGAAATCATCAAACACCAATTACATGTATCTTGTGTGTCACATTATCAGAAAATTGTTACCTATACATTTTCTCATTTACCTAATGTCTAGCAGCTGCTTGACACAGCATATGAAAAGTTAGTCCTCTCTAGAATCGGACATAAATAAACCAGTTCAACACAGAATATTAAAGACTAGTATACAGCTAAGTATTTTTTAGGTATTATAAAATATTAATCACTGATAATAATTACTTACATCTTTGATTCCTGTTTTGAAATGTGGCTATCCGATCCTGGTCTGGAACGTATTTTTCTCTTGTCTGACAGATTGTTCTCATGCCTCACTGTAAAAGCCTTGAAATTTTCACTGGAGCTTCCGGGGAAGATGTTATCACAAACAGTGCATGGGAAACGTTCCAGAGGTACCGCTGTCTGGAGAACAGCCAGAGTGTAGTGAAAACCCCCATGACAGACATCTGCAGGAACTTCATTTTCAGTATTTCTGCACTGCTTCACCAAGGAGCCTTGAGTAAGAATATTAATAACTCATCATTTACAAAGCAAGAGTGATGTGCTTAAAAAAACAAACAAGCAAAAAATATTAGCAGCAATGGTTTAAATATTTTTAAAGCATATTAGCTGTTTTACTAATTTGGAAGTAGTTTAATTTGAAAACAAAAATCGAAATTTATGCACAAAGCTTTTTATATATAGGTAGCATACTGTTTGTTTATGTCATAAGTGTGTGGAGTGTATAACAGAACATGTTTTCAAAAGTGTACCAGGATAATTTATAGAATGCGGTTAAAATGTCTGGGGTGTTTAAGGTACATAATTAAGAATCATTTTTGTAATTTAAAATTCTTTGAAAATGCCTTTGTTTTTCCATTTCTGAACGCTTTGCCAAGTCTCTAATCTGTGTTAATGTTGTTACTTTGTCTCCTTCCATTAACTGCATTTTTGCAAAGAATGAGGTTAACAAGGTTGCAGGTGTTTTCATAAAGCCATGGTGGTTTTTAAAAGCCACAAACCTCTGAGACATTGTTCTTTTATAATTACTGTATACACGTCTAGGGCTTAGAACTCCCTGTTATTTTCACAAATTTGATCTGCTGCCAAAAATATGTAAGCTCTGATGCAAGTCCAAACTCGCTGTTCTTATCCTGCCTGCCAAGGAGGTAATTTTATTGTTCCATAACACTCATCATCAAAGCATCATCCATAAAACTGAAGTGGAGTCTAATATAGCAATGTCCAGACAGAAGTCCTCCTAAAACAATTGATCTTTTTTGACAGGCTGTCAGTGTGACCCCCAAGGTTCCTTAAGCACTGTGTGTGATCCTAATGGAGGTCAGTGCCAGTGCAGGCCCAATGTGGTGGGAAGAAACTGTGACCAGTGTGCTCCTGCTACCTATTTATTTGGACCAAGTGGCTGTAGACGTAAGTACATTTTTAGTCTTATGTTTGTAATGTATGGTATCCAAATAAAGCTATTAATTAAATGCACTTGTAACATTTGGTTTTGTTTAATGCAAATTGTTTTTTTATTTATTTTAGCCTGTGAGTGTAACCCTCATGGCTCTGTTAACAGTTTCTGCCATGTGGCAACTGGTCAGTGTGAGTGTATTCATGGCACATATGGACGTCAGTGTGACAAGTGTCTGCCGGGTTACTGGGGATTTCCTACTTGCCGCTCCTGTAACTGCAATGGGCACACAGACCACTGTGACCCTCAGACAGGGGAGTGCTTGGGCTGCAAGGATCATACTACTGGACTCAACTGCGAAAGGTACTGTAATAGATTGTGTTCTAGTGAAATAATGAAGCTCTAACAAAGTGGAGACAATTGTAAACCAATTAAATAGGGTCAATTTGAAATAATTAAATGAAAATCAGTTCCTGACACCTGCTTGTCTAGCAAGCAGATTTCTAAGAGTTTAATCAAACAGCCACTACTCAGTGATTGGCAATCTTGGCCATGTGGCTTGATTGTTTCTGGTACAGTATAGTTTTAGAGTGCAGTAAAAGAAAATGCAACAATATAAAAGACTGCTTTCACTCTCTTAAGTATAAATATCCCTCCTTCTGAGCATCCCATGACACCTCTTTCTCAAATCTGACCCTCAAACTCATCTTCTGCCTTGCCGCAGCTCCCTGGCTTGTGCCTTCCAAAAGTAATGGTTTTTACTTAATTTATTAATTTACTGCAAATTTATACAACACCTTGCACAGTTTTCAACAAAGCTTTTGATAGGTTTAAGTAGGTAGCTGCATCAGCATGTGTGACCATCACGGTTCCGCGTGGTCTCATGCCCTCCGCCGCTCCACTCTGCCGGTTTGTCCCACAACACCTGGGCGCAAACCCGGGTCTCTGGCATAACGCAACAGGGAACCAGCCTCATGAGCTAAAGCAGACCTCCCTCAGCCAAGGCAGCTGAGGTCCCTGGTATGCTCAGGGAGGGCGATGATGTCACTGTGTCCAAACTAGCTCCGCTACACATGCGTAAGCTGCAAAGTAACAAGTACAGGTTTATTCCATGCTGAAAAGAAAAGAAAAGAAACACAGTGTTTCGGCTGGGTGTCATAGCTTTTGATATTTTACTTGAGTCATGTGAAAACTAACATTGTGCTTCCCTTTCTTGGCAGATGTTTAGATGGGTACTATGGAGATCCAGTCCTGGGCTCAGGGGATCACTGTCGCCCTTGTCTATGCCCAGATGGTCCAGGCAGCGGACGCCAGTTTGCCAGTGCCTGCTATCAAAGCAGAGATTCCCTCCAAGTGTTTTGTGTCTGTAACCAGGGATACAAAGGTAATATGTTAAGTTTTAATGGGGAGCGTACACAAATTAAAATAATGAATGGGGATTAATTAATGGGGAAAAATTATTTTCTGCTGCTTTTATTTTTATTTTTTCCTCCTCAGAAAAGTAAAACCCTAAAATTAATTCATTTTAGAGTCTTGTGATTTCTCCCCATTGATTACTTTGACACAAAAGTGCATTATCACTAAATTACCCAAAGACATTTTGAAACAGAGAAATGAAAATACTAAAATAATAAACATTGTTAGACACTATATTACTGCTGACTTGGAACCTGTATATTTTCAGCCTTATTATGCTGAAACATGAGGTACAGAACGTTGGGCTGAACAACTTTCAGTTCACTTTCTGCTGCCTTTGTCAATAGCAGTATTGCTGGTTAATTTTTCCTTTGTTCAGTGCCTGTCTGCGTGTGTCATTCCTTTAAGAATGGCTTATACTGTATGTGCCATCTTTTGTCTTATATTTCTAGATTTAATATTTCCACTTTTCACTGTGTAACCTCTTGATGGTTTTTACGGTTATCCTGTATTTTCTAAGTCAAGATGTAGGTGAATCCAAATAAGTACCTACATCATTTGTATAAGCACTTTTCCAGTACTTAATAAAATGTATTGTCACCCTTTACTTATTAAAGTGTATTGTCACCAGTAGCACATGTTGCATTTTAATGCCTCTAAGTATTCATTTTTGCTGCCTGCTTGTAACATTGTGCTTGTCCTAACTTTTGTTTGTCTGGTGTAAGTTCACAACCCAGATCAGATATCTGTGTGATGCCCTACAAGGATGAAATGTCTGTGTATATTGTTTATAGGTGCCAGGTGTGATGAGTGTTCTCCAGGTTACTATGGCAATCCTAATGAAGTTGGAGGAATATGCCGGCCATGTCAGTGCAATAACAATATTGACATGCTGGATCCGGGTTCCTGTGATGCGCATACAGGAATTTGTCTGAAATGCCTGTACCACACTGAGGGTGAAAACTGTCGTCGCTGCAAGCTTGGATACTTTGGAGATGCTCTAACTCAAAGTTGTAGAAGTAAGGATTTCTTTTTTTTTACATACACATTTGATTTAGAACTGCCAATTGAAGTATTGGTTAACGTAACACTTTTTTATTTAAATTTAAATCTCATGCTTATGTGCCTTTTGAAATTTACAAGTAGAATATTCTAAACCCTCCCCCATTATTTTATATTTTCACTAAATATTCATGCAGATTCTTAGGACTTTTCTGTTCCTGTTGTTGTGTTATTTTATGTACTACATTGCTTTTTGTTCTTCTGTCTTCAAGAATGTGTTTGTAACCACCTGGGCACAGCAAATGAAACTTGTCCTTCAGCTGCCGACTGTCACTGTGATTTGGCCAGTGGGCAATGTCAGTGTCTTCCTAATGTGATTGGGCAGAATTGTGACCAATGTGCTCCCGACACCTGGAATTTGGCTAGTGGGACAGGTTGTGAACCCTGTGATTGTGATGAAACCAATTCCCTGGGATCTTCTTGCAATGAAGTAAGACAAAGCCAGTCTGATTTAGAGTTCATGATCTCTTTTAGTTTAAGCTGCAAACACAAGCATTTGCTGTTTATTTGCACAATTAAAATATATATTATTATTAAGTTAGATTTGCCTTATAAGAGAATTATGTCAAGTCTGCTTTTGGATGCATGAAAATGAAACCCAGTTTTGGCAAAAAAAAACATCAGTTCTTTATGGTTTTGACGTCATAACATTATATGTTCTTTATTTTCATATGCTTGCACTACCCTAGTAATTTAAATCGCAATAAAGTATAAAAACAGAGGCACCGCATCAAGCTTCTGTGATCATTTTTTATTTTATTTTTCGCAGTGGACAGGTCAGTGTTCCTGCAATCCTGGATTTGGAGGAAGAACATGCCGAGACTGCAAGGAGCTCTACTGGGGTGATCCCAATGTTGAGTGCAAAGGTATTGTTGCAACCCTTATAGTAGTATGCTTTGACATTTTAAATTGTTAGAATGAAATTAAACATCTAAATTAAGGAACTCTTACAGGTCTTAATGGTAGTGGTGAGCAAACAAGTTTAAATATTTGCTGCCCATTGCTAACAAAAATCACGATGTAACAGGAATTTATGTGCACTCTGTTCTGCTTGTGTGCGGTGCTGAATAAGAAGAAATGGTTGAGAAAACAGAATAGTGTACGTTTGGTTCCTGATGAAAAGATCAATCAAAAGACTCTGATACAATGATTTTGAATTACCATAAACAAAAATGGTAATGTCACGATAAAAGTATATTTTTGATGTAATTGCAAAGATTATATAGAATTTCTTATGAAGGTTATATGAATTACAGTTTTAAATCCCAGTGTATTCATAGACCTTTCATATGACTTCCCCAATTCTTCATAAAACTTTCATAAACAGCCAGTTATACTACACTATAGACACTGTGAGAAAGCTGGGGGTGGTACTGACACAGCATGCTGAAAGTATGCACAGTTGTTATCCCTTCTGTGCTGTGGAGGGGAGTAACAATTGCTGATTCAACACACAGTGAATATCTGAAGAAAATAATTGATTCCAAAGGAAAAAAAACTTGATATGGATTTTAATAAAAATGAAACCTGTGAAATTTAAATTCCCTGTGACATTCCTACTGTATATAGTCTGTCATATAGAACATGGATTTAAAACAGATTGATAAAGTCTAGGTAGTCTTTTGAAATTCCATAAATGTTAACTTTTTAATCCATTAGATCCATAGTGCTCATTATTGTATCTTTTGTTTGCGATAGTTTCATGAACACAATTTAAACAGCTTTGTGATTGGTATCAACTATGGCCTTTAAGAACAAAAGCAGAAATTGAATTTATGTCGGTTACTAACCAAAGTTCAGTGATATACAGTATATTATCTTCCATGAAACTGTAGACAACAGATTTGTTTTTGGTCAGCATATTATGATCTGTTATGTTATGATCTCTCTTTGTGGTATAAGTTATTTAATAATAATGTGCAATTTGATAACAGCAAGATATGTTTGATGCAAAAGTGTATTAGATATACAGGAAGGTATTGTATCTTCTTCATTTTTAAGGTTTCTATAATATATAACATTTAAATCTAATCAATTTGTTCTCCTATAAATTCCTGACAGGCTTTATTTTATCAGAAGGAAAGTGGGATAAATTGACAAATATTATTTATAAAGTTATTTTTACTTAATTATATGCTTAACATACAACCTCTTTCATTTAAAAAAATGATATGCTGAGTTTGCCTCCAGTTTTAGCTAAAAAAAAAAGATTGTTACAGGCAAGTATTTGGCACCCCTAAATTAGAATGTTATCTAATGTTAATGGTAAAAGTATTAAACTAATAACGCTCACCAGTACTTTCAAATTGGGTACCAGGACAAGTACATTCAAATTAGGTACATGGCTGGAATTATCGAATTACATTGTTACAATACTTTTCTTTACAAATGTAATTTACAAAAAACTGAATGTTCCAACATTTAATGCACGTTTGTTGAATAGAATACATGTAATTTTGGTATTTTACTGCACATTTTTCACATTTTATTTATTAGATCAAAGAAGGTTATCAGAAATCCATTTTCTCAGGATATATTAAAAACCACCTTGATTTAGAAGACAGAGAACTCAATTTGGGATATTTATTAAAATATTTGATCTAAATGCAGGAGGTAAAATTGGATTTGCTGTAGAAAATGTGAGTCATACACTCTAGGTGTCATTTTTTGTCATAGTGAATTATGGCCAGATGTACAAACATTAGCTTTGTTTCCATGACTAACATGGGGCATATCTGTCTGTACCTCGCAATAACTTTGTACATGACATTAATATGGATATTGAAGGCAGTCCTTTGGAAGCAGGCAATACTTAAAATGACTTCATCAGCAAAAAAGAGTTCTTTGTCTCAGACTAAATATAGTCCTCTGTTACTCAGGATCATTTTAACTACACTGCTATTTTGTGAAATGTTACTGTTTAATGATTTGGGAACTCTGTTTTGATTATGTTTATTTATATTTTAAAAGTATATTTTTTCCTCCTCAAATATTATTAGCAGCAATTCAAAATAATCATGATTGGTTTGTTCCTTGAATTGTGTTGTGTTAAGAATGTAAGCAGTATAAAGCCATGGGGTTTTTATTTTTTTATTTTTGACAAAAATTAGTATGAATAATGAATGACGTATGATATCTTAAGGAAAAAAGTTTAAAGATTCATACTATGCTGAAGATCATTTTTGGAAAACAGGAGATACATTTATCGAGCAGTAAAAATGAACCCTTAAAAATATTTTATGTGACTCATACAATTTAAACATATCACAATTATTTTTAATAATATGGGTGGTATATTTTACTTTCATAATTAACTTCGCATAGAAAACATTTTGCTAAGCTTAAGGTTGTTTCCTTCAGCTTTGTACAACCTTTTTTTGAGTGACAAGCTTGTTCTCTCTCAGTAAGCAGAAATGTGAGTTTATTTTTCTTAGTAGGGAAAAACAACCCTCCATTTTTTTCTTGCACAGGGGGTTGGGGGTTGTTATTCCAGATATGTGTACCCTCATGTTTAGATAAGTTGGATAGAGCAGGAAACATACAGTGTTTCTTTTGGATCACATTCCTTTCATTCATTTCTCTGTATTGTTGAGTCTTAACTAATTACATGCTGAAGAGTTCCAGTTATCACAATTGTCTGAATTTATTTACTTTAATGGGGTGTTAAACATGCAAAACAATGTTTAAACCCAAAGTTATTATTATCTTAGGAAATTTTGTAGTTGTTCAAAAAACACAGTTAAAAAATGTTAAAATCAGAGAAGCTACAAATAATTAAAATGCAAAAATTGGAAAGAAAAGTTTTCAGGTTTAAATCATCTCCAATTTTAAAAATATTTTAAAAATATTCAGCAATTATAAATGTTATTATTGCAGCTTATCTATTAGCCACAATTAAACATTTTGATAAATGTATATCTGATACATCCTTTGCTTCAATACCAAAATGCTTTGTATTCTAAAAGTTTTTTAAAAGTTTGCTAAGGTTAATGTGTTCAACAATTTTTGGAAAACTTTTCCCACAAATTTACTCAGAAATGTACTGTGCACTTTCTTTGTTTTCGTGTGATTTCTGATATCTAGTGTCATGGTTTACCAATACCTAGTTGCTGTTATTTCACTGTGATGTATTCCGCTATTTTGTGCTTTTTATATGGAATATATAATTGCTTGAATTGGACATGAAGTGTACCTTGAAAAAAAAAGCTTTTTCCCTCCCATAAAGCAACACCACTTTAACAGTTTCTATGTGGAGAAGATTGCTGTTTAAAAGCTTTACTGAGTTTTTAATTTGACACTCCAGAATTCCAAAGTTAAAATTAAAGACTATCTCAAAAAATATAAGATATCTAATAATGAGCTCCATAAAATACTATCAGTTGCACCAAGGTGTGAATGCAAGAATAGGATTTTAGAGAAATACAGATTTGAATACCCAAACCCTAACCCAGCCCACTAGTGTAATATAAGACACTAGAGTGTTACTATTCTGCTGTGAATAGGTTAGAGTTGGAAACTCTGTGTGTGGCCTGCAAAGGAACAAGCATAGATGAATTCCACGCTAAACAGTCAAAACGATTTGCTTTTATTCTCAGCATTCTCTCTGTCTCTGCCAAGACCTTTTATACATTTCTGTGAAGATGTGATTTAGGAGTGAGGAAATGGTGTGTGAGTGTTTTTAATTACAGAGAAAGGGTAGCTCAATGTGTGATTCCTGGATCAGTCCCACAAGTACGATACATAAACACATAAACACTATAAAAACATTTAGGAAATTCATGAAAGGAAATGTTTTCTCCTTCTCTGACTCCCATTGCAACCTACTAATTGTACTTCTTCATTGGGATTGTATTTCTAGCACTTCCATGACAGGAACTTTACTGTCATTCCGAGAGGACCATGCAATCTTGTTTGACAAAACACTATAAAATAAAGATAACATTTTAGCTTTTCTGTAAATCTTACATAGCTTTATTATGCTATATGTTGTTCACTACTTCGTGCTGTTCGTCTAACCACATCACTGTGTGCTGCTATTCTAATTGATCCATACATTTATTTCTTGAATGTCTCCAGGATATCTGGTTCAAAGTAAATGGGTAATTTATTCCGTATTTTTAAAATTTCTCTGTATAAATATGAAGCTTCTGTTCTCAGTCTTCAGTGCATCTATTTAGAGTTCCAACTTATGTTTTCTGATTTATGTTTTCAGTGTTTTTACTATATATCCTAAAATTCAATTTTTACTGCTGCCCAATATTGTCTCAACATTGTCTAGGGGAGACAAATGTATTAACATAAACACTTAAGTCTTTAACCTTTCCTAGACTTTTTATAATTCACATGCATAAATCTTTTGTCCTCCTTTTGCTGTTGCTGGAGTGTTTACCACTCCTTCTGTTTTGGTGCAAATTAGACTAGTCTTTTAACTACATTCAGCAATTTAGATCAGTGAATGAAATAAGAGTTGTAGTCTTAATCCAGATCCCTGTGCTGCTCAAATATATCTAAATATATCACATGTACTCTTTTCTGGTCATTAAATAGTTCTTAGTCTAAACATAAACACTGCCTTTTATGTGGGGATTTGTTAGTATTAAAAATATTTTAATATACCTTTGAAAATAATCTTAGTACTAAAAACCACATTATATTGTGCACTAATTGCATTCATTATTTTTAAAGTAGTTTTAATGTTAATATTGATTATGATGATGATAATTACTTGCATTTCTATAGTACATCGTAAAAGCTCTCAATGTACGGTACCTATAAATAGGGGGGATCCTGCTGAAATGCAGCCATTATGTGTCAACAGCCACACAACAAAACAGATCAGGTAGAAAATTCAGAATTTACTTCACCCTTTGAATTAAAGGAGGAATTTAGGACGTGGAGATTATCCAGGACACTAGGACTAATACTTATAAACCATAACATTTGTAGCACTGATTTTTAAAAGCTACATTTCAAAGTGAAAAACCTCTGGCAAGCTTTAGTTTTTAATTTGTGAGTGGTTCAGAGTTTTCATTGAACATTGAAAACTTGGTTTGGTATTTTGTGAAGCCATCATTTTGCATTGGACATGCCAGTTGATGCAGCAATTCAAAACAGATGAGTCTTGAGTCAGATGAGACATTTTTGAAATGTTTTAGTTAAGCATTGAAAGTCTTTGCTTCCTTTGTTAAACAGATAACCTCCTTGGTTTAATCTTATTTCAGAGGCGGTCTACAAAGTGTGACAAATGGCTAAGAATTTGGAGTAACCAAAATACAAGATACAAAATCTGAGTAAACTGCCACAGACACTCTTTCTAAATGTCAATTAAAATAATTTGCCATTTCAATTTTATTTATAGCATTCTGCTTCTAGAGTTTCTGATATTGATATTCCTAAAATATTACAAAAAGTCTGCCATTGAATATTTCCAACAAGTTTGTTATTCACTAGGATACTTTTATTTTGATCTCATTTCAAGGTGAACACGAGATAGACCTAGCTGTATTCTCAAGAGACTTTCTCTTATGCACTCCTGTTTAATGTGAGTGTCTGTGAAAGTGACTTTTTTAGATTTGGCTTAAATGAACTCTTGCTGTAATTGCTGTGTAGTGTACCAGTATTGACAATTTTCAAATACATGCTTGTCACCAACGTGGTACTGACCACATGTATTAACATGTTTTTTTGCTGGATTCCATAGATATTTCACCTTTGAAGTTATACAGTGCTCCAGCTGTTTAGAGGGTCTTGTAAACATTTACACTTTGGCACCTGGCAAATGTATGGACTGCTGTTTAAAGGGTAGTTCTAGTGTAAACATGAAGTCATAGCTTTAATCCTACACTGGGGGAGGTGGATTCAGTAAAATAAGGGAGTTAAATGTAAACTCAGCTGTGTATGTGCTGATGGCTGTAATGAAAGAAAAGGAGCCTCTCTTCAGTAAACACAGCCACTGAGACAAAACAGCATCACACAAACAAGAATTCCGGTGATAAAGGTTCTTTGAATCATGTAGTCTGCAAGTAGTTAATTAACAGAGGTATTTGTCTAAAAAACTAGCTAAGTATTCCATTCTTTTACTAAAATGTTTTATGAATACAAGAGATAATTTAACAAAAATACTTGCATTTCAGAAGACAATGTTGTAGGCATTTCAGACTTTTAGAATGTTTTTGCTACTATAAGTTATTACATTAAAAGTGCTGGTTACTATGATCAGTTTAATGTTGTGAGAAAATATCTTGTCTTGAGTAATAGTGAACATTGAAGTATAATGCTGACTAGCTAGTGTAAAATGTTTTTGGAACAGTTCTGCAGCAGGTTCCTATGTATTGTCTTTTCCACATTTCTGATCATAATGAGAAGTAAACTATAGCCGTGTATTTAATTATTTTAACAGGCTAATGTCTACAATTCTAATAAAACAATTCATATAAAGAACCATTTTCCCTTAGAATTTTCTCATTTAGCTTTTCATAAAAAAATGTTATTTGGGGAAAAAAAACTTTAAATTGAAAATGTTGTAAAAAGTTTGTTAGAGATCTACACCCACCCTTTTACATCTTTAGTGACTGCTTTTCTTTTGTACTGCAAGCAAAGATGTGATGATAATTTATGGTGAATCTAGTAACTTTTGGTTGAAGATGACCATGTTTGTCTAATGCTGAAACAGTGCATAGAGCAGCAGGAATGTTACAGCCCAGTGCCTTTATTTATAAAAGCTGAGGACAATGTTGAGAGCAACACTTTGTTCTTATGTCTTACTTCAAGAATGCACATGCATATATTCCATGAGAACAAAAGCTTTGAAGTCCTTAATTTCCTCTTGTCCAGTTTCCACCCACCCCTTCAGAAACGCAACATTTCACCCTGGGGTCAGGGTTTTAAAGTGGGTCTTTGTTGTTCTTTGAAGCCTTTTACTTGCTTAAGAGATGTGTAGTCAGTCCCGCTCCTGATAAAACACAATTGCTGTTTCCTGGGGATAGTTACTTGATATAGTCATTACATTTTTTATTTTAAAAGGCCCCTGTGAATAACTAGCAATGAAGAGCAAGCAAAAAAAAATAATTACGTTTCTTGAGAAAGTGTTCTAGAAATTATAATTAACGGTAACCAAATTAATTTTTCTTCATCATAAATATAGCAATACCAATTTTGTTACCTAATATGTGTTTTATCCATTCAATAGAAATTGTGTTTTAGTGAAAACAATATATTAATTCTAAGGTATTTTCTTTCAGGTAATTGAAACCTTTGTGGTCTTAGAACTTTCATGTCTTTCTAGATGAGACTGAGATGGGACTTGAATATTATTTTAAAATGTTTTTTATGAATATTCTAATTATATTTAAGTGCATATTAAGGTCAGTCATTATTAATAAATTATTGTGTTTTTGTGAAAATATATTAATTCTAAGGTATTGTCTTTCAGGTCATTGCCTTTGTGGTCAATTTAAGTAATTTTCAGTGCAGCGATAAAATAAGTACTGGTCTGAAATACCTCATTACAGTGATATCACTGCATAAAGGCTCTGACAGCAATGAAAGATAAAAGTTTGAATCTCAATCAGCAATAGACAATTCCTAAGAATTCTAAATGTAATGGCCAACGTTTAACACACTACTTCCAGAAATGCAGTTTTTTGAAGAAGTATAACCTCAAGATCATGGGCAAAAAATATATATAAATACCAATTTAACAGTACAAACAATGAATGAGAACTTTGGCACTATTCAGTAAACACCTAGCAAAAGAAAGTTTACTAGGTATAAAGGCCAGGTATTACATGCAGTTAGCATGTACATTTACATTCTTCTGAAATTTTGTTTGCTTTATTTGTTTTCAACTGACTACAGCTTGCGACTGTGATGCCAGAGGTATCCAGACTTTTCAGTGCGACTCAGCCACAGGACATTGTATCTGCAAGCAAGGCGTGTCAGGTCCCAGATGCAACGAGTGTGCCCGAGGGTACTCTGGTGTTTTCCCTGACTGTGTGCAGTGCCATCAGTGCTTTGATGTGTGGGACACTGTTATTAGAGACTTAACCAATAAAACACACAAACTGATACAGAGAGCTAACTCAGTTAAAGCAAGTGGAATAACTGGACCATACCAGGAGACAATTAATGCAGTGGAGCAAAGTGCTTATAACATCAAAGATATACTTGCTCAGAATCCAGCAGCCCAGCCACTAAGTGATCTTCAGGATCTCCTGGAAAATGCAAAGTAAGTACTTATAACGTAACTTCAATAATCTATTTATTCTTGAATAGAATATTATATAATTTGTTTTTACATGAATCCAATATTATATTAACCTTGAATTAAACTTAGTACAGACCATAATGCAACTGCATATTGTCTTTCCCTTTCGATGCAGTAAATAATGGAGATTTGTTTTTCTTTTAAACAGAAAAGTAATCATTGAAGTGACTGAGAAAATAAACAGCACAGAAGGGACACTTTCAGAAACATCAGCTAATAAGAACAGCACTAACTCCAAGTTAGATGCTCTTAAAGAAGATGCTCAGAATTTGGAGAAATCTGTGAAGGACCTGTTAGGTCAAGTGGAATTGATAAAAAATTCCGATGTTCGAGGTAGGTATTTTTTCTGAGTTTTTAAACAAATGTTTGGTTGGAGGTCAAATCCTAATCTAGCCCACTTATACTTAACCTACATAAATATATAACATTTCTTGGTTACTTGCACATGCATTTAGTTTTCACATCCCTTTCTCCACCCTATTTTAACCCTTGCAGCTGCTCCTGGGTTCATACCTTTTTAGAGGCAGAGAGTGGGGTTAGGGGTTTTCATGGAAGAGTAGTCATTCCCCTCAGCTAGGCAAGAATCTCTTTATTCAGATTGCATCTTCACTGTCCTAATTGGGGTTTGATCAAACAGCGGAAAAGGGGGAAGTTGCATAACAATTACTGATGGTATCAACTAAAACTATTTTAAAAAAGAAATCAGTTTGAATGGGGGTTATATTAACATGCTTCTAATTGCAATTAATTTCATACAAAAGATGTCAAAGCTACAATAAAAAATACATCTATTAGCTCTGATGTCACAGTATAAAAATATTTGTAGAGCCCAAGAGCTGTAGAAATGTGTTTAGAAAATGATCAAGAAAAGAATAAAAGGACCATCCTGTATGATGTGCCAAGAAGCAGTTTTGAACATTCTTACTAAATCTAAACATATTTTTTAGAAAACATGACAACTACTTTAAAATGTGTTATTTTTCTTGACAAAAGTGATTGCTGTGTTTTTTCTATTTCTACTATAATTTTTATCATTTGAATGTTTTTGTTTTTAATTTTTGATATCTAAAGGGGCATCAGACAGTGTCAGCAAGTATTTCCAGCAGTCTATGGATGCTGAAGCGAGGGTAAATGCATCCACCACTGACCCTGGCAACACTGTAGAACAATCATCTGCAATCCGCCAACAAGTGGAAGATAAGATGAATGAAACCAGACTTCAATTTGATGAAAACCAAGCAGAATATTCCAAAAGACTGGATGATCTTGCTGGTCAACTAGAATCCCTAGACCTCACTGAGCTCAGTGAAAAGGTATGAATTTCTTTGATAAACTTTTTCTGAATTTTATTTAACACAATTTTTTGTAAATTACTTTATATTTAAAGCAAGGGGACATTCTGTCAGCCTCATCAATGCGGTCAGACTGCTGTTCTCTCAGCTAGGCGAGATATTCCAAATAACTTCTGATACTTTTGTCCCTCTCTCGTATTAATTAGGATCTTAAAAACTATTGAATTAAATGAAGTAGGTCTTGTTGTGGGATTGCATAACAAATATAACTATTTTACTGTTGATGATCAACACTATGTTTAGTTTACAGGTAATTTGTAATCTTAACACAGAGTGTAAAAATATACAGTATCTAGTCTAGACCTGCAGGTTATAAATTCCATTTATGCATGAAGACTTATTGGTTTATCAAAGAAAAATTATGGTCATGGTATGTTATGTTTAATCATGATTTACTTCAGTGCATGTGGTTATTAAGCACCTTAAAGAGAAGCACTGACCATGCTCTTATTGCCCACCAAAGGAAAATGAAAGAAATGGCCTTGTTTCCTGAAATGGCTAATCTCTGTCCCCTAGACTTGTGGACCCTCTGAAGGCACTACTTGCTCTGAGTCACACTGCGGTGGATTAAGCTGCCAGGGTGAAGATGGCACCAGGAAGTGTGGAGGCAAGAACTGCGACGGCCTGGTGACTCTGGCAAATGATGCCTGGCAAAAAGCTAAAGACTTTGACAGCGAAATTCTTAATGCCCTGGAAGAAGTTGACAGGCTATCTAAGATGGTGGGTGTTGCAACGTATCTCATTATACTGTTTTAAAATGTATTTTTAAAGTGTGCATGGATCAGGAAACATACAGAGAGCTTTGGTAATAGAATACATATTACAATGTGTTTTCAATATGTTGTTCATAGTCACAATGATTCTTTGTGCTTATGGCATTTGTTTTTTCCCTTTCACTGGTTTAAATTTACTTAGCGGATACAAAGGCAAATTTAGCCAACATTGAAAACTAAACTGATGGTGTAGGAAATTTTTTAAAGTTACAAAAAATCTGCTTTTTAAATTTTAAATATAGCAATATAATGCATGAAATCAAAGTGCCCAGTTAAAAAAAACCTTAAAGTATTTGAACTTTGTTTTTTACTGACTGATATATTGTTTTGCCATCACAATATTTTTAAAAAAGTTGTTTTTGATATTTTCCTTGTGATTGTTAGGTATCTGAGGCTAAACTCAAGGCTGATGAAGCCAAGCTCAGTGCTCAGGAGGTTCTTCAGAAAACCAACCAAACCAAGCAGAAAGTGGATCAAAGCAACGAAGATCTTCGTAAACTTATCAAGCAGATACGAGAGTTCTTAATGCGTAAGGACTGTTTGTATGTCATATTAACAAATCTAAAAATATTAAAGAATAAGAAAAGGAATTTTTCACCTATTCTTTATAATAGCTTTTTATTAACCAACGTATTCAGCTGACACCACATTTTCAATTCCGATAATGTCGTGGTCAAAAATACTCTGTTGTGTCACAGATGACAAAGCAGTGGAAGAAAAATTACAAATAAATAAAATATTTTTTAAGAATAAATATGAGAATAAGAATAGTAATTAGTGCTTTTCAGCTTTTCAGTATGAGTACAATATACAACAGAAGTATGCAACAGAAATTTGATTAAATTAAAAGTACATTATGCATTGAAATCTTTAGTGAACAGATTGGTCTTTAAGCACTATCACAATGTCATAGATTTGAACAGTGACTTTTTTCTTGATATAAATGTTTTAGAAAATGGGGAACCAGACCATTCAGTGCCTTATTCATATTTAGGATATGGACTTTTTATTAAATTTACTGAGCATTAATTAAAATTACAGAAAACAGGAGTTATACACTGATGTAGTTACCTGAGCAAGGCTATGCAGAAAGAAAAAAGTTATGCTTGCGATGTTCATGTTAATGAATGTCGAATGGTAGCCGAAGATTAGGTAAGACCAATGTTTCTGACTTCCATCAAAGAATTAACTGTCGGCAACACTGAACATACAAACACTGGAAAAAAAAACTATTGGGAATCTGAATTTAACCTCAGTCTTATCACATATTATATCTGCAACTCAGATAAACGTTTAACTTGTAAAGTGCAGAAACAGCAGCATTAGTGTTTTAGTCTGAAAAAAATCTGATCATTTCTCTAAATGCAATATTGTCACACTAAACCAATTTCAATAGCATTGTTCCTTTCTCCTGCATTACAGAAGATGGTGCTGATCTTGAAAGCATTGAGGCTGTTGCTAATGAAGTGTTAGAAATGCAGATGCCCACCACACCAGCACAGCTCCAGAATTTGACAGATGAAATTCGTGAGCGAGTGGGGAGCTTGTCTGATGTAGAGGCCATTCTAACCCAAAGTTCAGCAGACATTCATCGAGCAGAAACACTACTTGATGAAGCTAAGAAGGCAGGGTGAGTGACTAGTCTGCAGTGGTGGACTGAGAAGAAGACATTCTTTTCTTCAGTCATTTTTATGCTGAGCTTATGTTGAGTAGCAATAGTCTGGGGGTAATACAGGATCTTGTTCAAAGGGGCATCATTTAACTATTCAAATGCTTTTAACAATAGATCATTAATTATAATCTTGTATTAAAAGTTCATTCTGGAGTTTGTAATGCAGATAATAGTATCCTGAATTGGTCTTTGTGCTAGGCAGTGTTCCACAGCACAGTGTCTTCCTGTGTGACACAGTGAAACTAGCAAATTCCTTGCATTTTTCTGCACAATACATTTGAATTATCTTTGTTACAGTAAGGAGGCAACAGACATCAAGAACACTGCAGACAGGGTGAAAAAAGCCCTGGAGGAGGCAGAAAAAGCCCAAACTGCTGTAGCAGAAGCCATCGAACAAGCTGGCAAAGACATTCAGGGGACCAATGACTTCTTGACCTCTGTGAGTCACCAGTCTGCACTGCAGGGAGCTCTTGAAGTGGGTGGGGAATATTGCATGAAAAGAGTCTATGTGAGGCTTGGCTGCCTTCTAGCATAACTGTTCTATTTAATCGTCTAGGTATTTAGCTTTAAAAAAAACTGTGTAAAACAGACTGTTAGGAACAAAGTAAAAATGCAAAGAAGTTATCCCCCATTACAATTACTGGAAAGCATTAAAACATGTCTGTAGGTCTAACATAATCAACAAAAAGTAGTATATCACTAAGTACAGATCAAGCTAAAATATTTAAGAATTCTTAAAAACTTTTGCTAATATGGCTTTGGTGATACATGTTTCTTGCACAGACTATAAGTATTTTCTAAATGTTAACTAAATTTAGTGGGAGATGTTTTAAATTGTGATTGGAATTTGTTTTGCCTCAGGTGGAGTCTGAAACTGCAAACTCAGAATTCAAATTGAACAATGCAACCCAGAGATTACTTCAGCTGGAAAAAGACATTGATGACCTTAAACAAAAAGCACTCACAAACATTGCTACTGCAGATGAAATTGAGAAATCAACTGATAAAATACAAGAGGATGCCAATGAAGCCAAAAAGGTATAGGTAGTTTTGAAAAGTATTACAAATTCTATAAATGTTCATTTTAAGATTTTTAAAGTTGATTGTTTTCTTTCATAATCCCTTTAGTGTTTTTTGATTTCATATCAAAACTTTGATTTTTACAGGAACTAGATAGTGAACTGAAGAATAAATACAACGATGTAGAAGATTTGATTGTTAAAAAGACTGAAGGTGTGGCAGATGCAAGGAAGAGGGCAGAAGAGCTTCAGAATGAAGCCAAGGAACTGTTATCACACGCAAGCAGGAAACTTCAGCTTCTAAAAGGTAAAACATCAAACTTTATTAGGGGTGGAGAATGGACAACTGATAGCAAACATGCAGCATTCATACCAACTATATTAGATAAAACTTGCCAAACATTTTATACTGAGTGCTTGTGTAGAGCAAAGAACCTGATATTTGTATTAGTGTTAACAGTAAAGATAACTGTAGAATGTGTTCTATCTTTCCAATATATGCAGTTAGTCAAATCTAATTTAGGAAGACTGCTTACTTTTGTAATTCTTTTGTATTTAAATCAGAGTTTCTTAACTATGAAACTTTTTATTTTAAAACTCACTGCTAATGTTTTAGTGTTATAGGTCAGCTTCCCACCTTTGTGTTTATTAGCATATTTGAAGATATGAAAATGTGAAGAAGGATTGCTCCACCACTGAAAATATTCATATACAGTAAAAAAAGCAAATTTTACATTTGCAAAGCACATTTTAAGAGTTTTTTTCCCCCCTTCAGATTTAGAGAAATCTTATGAAGACAATCAGAGAACCTTAGAAGAGAAAGCAAATCAGCTTGTAGACCTGGAGAAGGCAGTGCGGGATCTTTTGCAAGAAATCAGCCAGAAGGTTACAGTTTACAGTACATGCTTGTAAAACATAAAAAACTACATATTTTTTATCTATGCTATGTGTCTGGATGTGCTCTTCTCATCTAATGAATTTGTAACCCTATTTTAACAAAGTTTCATCATTTTATATAGTAAAGTTTTTGTTAAAAAACTTAATCCCTTTTTTACCCATTTCTCATAAAGGAAAATGTTAAAATGGTTAAAATTATGATCAGGTTTACAGCAAAATAATGAACCAAATTAAAAAAACAGAACCCACAAGTTGTCACTATAAAGATGTACCGAAGTTTGAAACTACATGGTAATACTGGTTTTCTGTGTAAACCTACATTCCATATTTAAAAATATTTTAATATGTGGTAAGTTTCTGCTTTTTGAACATTAGGTTTGTTTAAAACAATGCAGTTATAAAACTGAAATTTTAAGAACTCAAAAGGATGCATGTTCTTTGTAAGAAATGTCACAATATGACACTTTTGATAATATACTATCAAAGTAGTACTTCACTGGATGTACTGTACTTGTTGAAATGAGTCATGAAATCATTACTTTCCTAGACTAACGTGCTCTGAAACATCTAACTGAAAAAAGTTTTCATGTCTAACATAAATGTAAAATATAATATCTATAACATTCAATCACCTGTCATTATGTAAATCTCTATTTCTATAGTTAAATTAAACTATATGCAATATAGTTTATATATACATAAAATAATTATTTTTGCTGTATGACTTAAAATGGTCATACAGACCACGCTTTGGTATCTTCAGATCTCTGACAGATTAAGAGTTTTTGCGTATTACAATTTTAATGCATTTTCTGGATTTTTTACTTATTTTTTGCTGTTAATGTAAAATGTAGGAGCTTTCAGGTCTATTCCTAGATAGCAGAATGAGAGTAGATAATATCCAGCTATGCATTCTGATTTTTACTTAATAGCATTCTTTTGTTGACCTGCAAGCAAAATCTTTAGTATGTTATGCACATTTTTCTAAAGTTCAGTTTTATATTGTGGCTATTACCCAAACCAATTAATAGGCTTTTTTAAATTCAACTTCAATGAACAGGTTTGTTTATTTGGTACACCAAAACAGTTATTCTTATATGTATTGTCCTGTTTCCCCTTAAATAAGCAGAGGTTTGCATTTTGAACTTCATTACAATAAAAGTCCTGTACCATACAAACACCAAGTTTACATGTATTGACAGTTTTATCTTTTAAAACAGTAAAATTAACAAAATGTACAGAATGCTTAAAATGGTACGATTTTAATTGAGTGAAACTGCAAACAATTTAAGTGAGCCTACTGAGGTGAATCAGAGGATTGTTAAAAAGAATTAGTATTTGACAGCAGATTAACTTCAAATAATTTTATAAATTTTCAGTGATTCTTGTTGAGGAGGGGCTAAAGTATTTCAAACACTCGCATACTGTAATTTACCGTATTAAAGGTCTACCCTTTTACATTTCTAAAATACATTTCAGCACATTGCAGACAAGATGTGCGTTATATCTGGAATGTGCAGTATATCAAAAATGGGATATATTTAAATGTGTAGGAGTGGTTTTTTTTCCAGGACATTGTACAACAGAATGGGTTATAAAATATGCAAGGGCACATTTTAAGTCACCTTAAATAGTATTACTCAGTAGTGTGCATAATGCTCAGACTAAGTGCACATGGTATGCACTAAAAGCTGAAAATTACGGTACACGGTCAGAACTGATAAACACCGTTACTAATATTCTAAAACGGTTCCAGGTTCATAGCCCAATCCCCCTTTATTAAGAGTATGCTGTAAATGACAGATTCATTGTGGTACAGATTACACCTTAACTCTCCAAAATCCTTTTAATCCAGAGGACCAGTACACATGAAGTGCCAGTGAACAGTTCAGAATGCATTTGCATTTTGTGCAAATGATGCTTCAACTTAGAAGTTAATGGCTTTTCCAAAAGAGGCTGCCAAATTGGCTTCTCTGAAGGCTTCTGAGACAGTCTGAAATAGGGAAATAAACAGAATAAGTAAAAAAATATATATTTATATTGACCAATGTTAATACCAGGAAAACATTTCTTCCAGACTTACTGGATGAGCATGGCACACTCTGGCCACATCTTCACAAGATGCTCCATATTCCATTGCTAGAGTAGCTTCGTTGATCATTTCTCCTGCACCCTAAACAAAATAAATGAAAAAATGCTTTGTCATTAAGTGTAATTAATAATTACAATATTTTCCTTAATTGGTTATAAAGTTAACTATTCGTAAACAAGGTCACTGTAATCTAGTTTTTTATATCAGTCCTTATTACATTTCTTAATAAATTTACATTTAACAATCAGTCAGTACATTAGATTGGACACGCCATATATATATATAAACAATGCATGTATAGCTTAACTTCACTTAGCACTCTAAAATAAAATATAATGACATTTACTCAAAACAGCAAAGAGTTTGACATTTCTGATGAAGGCTAGGTCAGGTGTCTGATTTACATACATGCATGTTCAGAACATGTTTTGGGTGGTTTTCATGCCTGAACATAATCTCTAGTTTTAGAAGAGCATAATCATCTATGCCTTAATTTTACAAATCTACCCCACACATTCCAATAGAAAGGTGCAGTTCAGTATATGAATTACTAGAGTATAATCTAGTAACCTGTAGTAGTAATCTGCGTTTAACTTACCGATCCCAGAATGTGTGCTCCCAACATCCTGTCAGTATCTTTGTGACTCAAGATCTTTACCAAACCATCTGTATCGGCATTCGTTTTTGCCCGGCTATTTGCAGCAAATGGAAACTTTCCCACTTTATATGGGACACCCTATAAGACAGAGGTTCCAATTACTACAGAGAACCAGGTCTAGCATTAAACTCCCCCTTAGAGCCCCCTTTAAACTGCTATGATGTTACCACTGGATTGCAGCAATAAACCTTTTGTTAATGGCATTCAGCCTGAAAAGAGATTTATGATACCGCTCCTGAAATATATGGATAAGCTGCCATCGTGTGGTTGAACTTAGTTACTACAAGGAAATGTACTTCCCCAAATTTAGTACAACTAGTAGAAAACCTGCCCCACTTCAATAAGAAAACTCCATAACTACTAAATGTAAAATTCTTATACTTGCATTCATCTTTTTATGCTGTACACAAAAGACATTAAAGACACCTTTTTGTATTTTATATTGCCCAGGCTTTGCTTTCATTTTTGCAGTAAAAACAAAGTAATTTATAATGGTATAAATTACTGAGCACCAAAAGAAACACTTATATTCTTGCACATATAATTTTAGACAAAATATGTGTAATCTGATTGGCATCTGATTTTGGCATCATTTTGATTGATCATTACTGTCATTTACTTGCATTTCCTAAATCACCTCATTGGTGAGAAAGTTTATTGTGGAGAGGTGTTATGACCTAACCTGTTGAGTGTGAAGGCTGGTGAAAATGAAAACCAAAAAGGAAACAATGTGTTCTGTTTATCAAGAGAATCTTTTGTGACACTGGTAGGTGGGAGGCTGTACTAAGTGCATTGTCACTTGTCATGTGAACATCTAATCCAGACATACTGAACCTCACTTGCTGTCCTTCCTGCAGGCTCACATGTCAACTTCCCTGTTGAACAATTCACATCCTCATGCTATTCATGCAACAGTTCCTGTTTGCAAGACTTGAGCCCCACTGAACATTTGTGGGACGCCTTCAGGAATTTAGGGCTCAGAGACTAGTCAACAGACCTATACTTTCCAGGCTTAAGCAGAGAAATAGGACAGAACCCCACAAAACAACAATGGCAACCTGATGCAAAGCATACATCACAGATGTACTGTATATCTCAAAGTGATTCCAACTGTGGCAATAAAGCACAAATAGCCCACGACTTTCACAGCAAACCACCTGCATATAACATGTTATTCAACATACTGAACAGACGTAAGAAATGTAAATTCATTAAAACGTCAATGCATCTGCTGCAAGAAAGACTGATTTTCCTGAGAGCTTTGTGAATTTTCTGCAATCACAAATGCTATTTTTTAACACTGTGTAAAATAAAGTCCTACTGTAGGTACTGATCTCAATGTTCGAATGCAGGCTATGGAAAGTACATTGGATCCGCTCCATCCACCACGGCGGTGGTAAAAATCCAAATGAGCCACCGGCAACAGGCTACTGCTCCCAACTAACTCACTCAGTTTAAAATCATCAATGGTCCCTCAGGTATTGAATTTCAAGACATAACTCACATAGTGATACATCAAACTGAAAATGAAGACTGAGCTTTCAAACAATATTAGTGAAAAAGTTGTAAAAAGTTTCCCTTAATTGGACTCGTCTACTCAAGCGGGGGGGGGGGAAACATTCACCCACATAAACCAACCTCCTCTTTGAGCTGCTCCTCAGATTTTCCTACCCAGCCAACCTCTGGGTGAGTGTAAATGACAGATGGCACACAGTTGTAGTCAATGTGAACAGCTCCCCCAGCCATTCCCTCCACACAGATGATGCCTTCATCCTCAGCTTTATGAGCAAGCATGGGTCCAGCTACTACATCTCCAATGGCATATATGCTATGAAGAAAAATATCATCAGAAAATGAACGGCATGAATGACAATCATGTATAGAACATATATGAAGCAAGCCTTGTGATAATTTAATTTGTTAAGAGTTAACCATTTTGTCCGACAAAATGCGACTTTACATCTATTTCCACAACGTTAAATGTATCGACTCTGCATAATGAAAATTAGGCTGAAATATTAACAAATGCACCAAAGAATGTTCAGTCTAAGACAATTTAGATGTTTTACCTCACATTCCCCAGACAGTTTTAAACAATCATACTATTATACCCATTTCTGCAAAAGTACTGAAGAGACCAAGGGTCAGAGACAGGACTGGAAGAAAGGGATAGATGTATATACCTTGGAACTTTTGTTTGGAATCTGTTGTTGATTGGGATTCTGCCCCGGTTGTCCAGCTCAATTCCCACATTCTCCAAGCCGAGATTCTGTGTATAAGGACGGCGACCAATACAGACCAGCAAAACATCACAAGTGAGGACTTCATTCTTTCCACCTGCAGCTGCTTCAACTCTAATCAATGTAGTAAGGAAGAAAACAGGAAATAAACACTTAACTTTACAAAGCAAAATCATTTGAACATCTGCCTAAATGTTTATGCATCTGTATTCTTACATGCCAAAGGTATTTTTCCATGTTGGACTTACTACACCATAATTCTTTTCCCCCCCACTTTGTTGTTTATATTTAAGTTATACTTATCCTCTCAGTATGCACAGTGATTATTTTATAAATCAATGCATAATCCTAAATCCAAGGTAATTTATTAAATTGAAGTAACCCACTTACGACACATCAATCTGTCCATCCGCTCTCCTTGCGGCTGAAGTGACCTTTGTCCCCAGTTTAAATTTAAGGCCTTGTTTCTGAAGAATGCGTTGAAAGTTCTTAGAGATTTCCATGTCGATGCCTATTCCACCAACATGGCCCAAGAACTCAACAGCTGTCACCTGTGAGCCCAGCCGCTGCCACACTGAACCCTGCAGGGAACACACACTTAGATTCTGCATTGCAAGGAGCTGTACCATAATCTACTGTGTCAAATATTATCTGAAGCAGTATAGAAAGACATGAGAAAGTAAAATTCACAATAGTTTTCACAAACTTACAATGACTGAAAGGAGGTGGAAATCAGTGAATGAGATGCTATGTCAGTGATAACATTAGAAAATGAATTTTAAAATTAAAGAACATTGGAAGTAGAGATGATCCAATATTAATCTACGATAAAAAATGACAGTTTTCACTATTCCAACAATCTTTTTTTAATACTTTTAGGTTTTAATTATTAAGTTTCAGGTAGGATGACAACATTACTCATTTTAAATATTCATATGCAGTGACCTATAAAAACAAAATCAGCAAGCTCACCAGTTCTACACCAATAACTCCAGCACCAATCACAATTAGCGTTTCAGGCACTTTCTTCAAAGACAGGGCACCAGTTGAAGAGACAATAGTTTCTTCATCAATCTGCAGCAAGATGACAAAACAATACATTAAGAAGGACGTTTCTATAAATTACCTGGAAAAAAGTGTCTGACAAATCAACATTCCAAAGACTTTAACACCATACTAAAGATACATGAAGAAAATACAAGCATGGGAACAACCTGTCAATAAAGAAGAGCAGCCCTGTGTAACAGTTGTGCCCCATAAATCCCTTCTTCTCAACATATAGATCACAATTATATTGACAAATTTTCATATCAAGCCACTTTCAGGAATATTTCAGGAAGGAAAGCTCTTTACACAGTGCATTCACATAGGTTGCTAGACTTTAACTCTCAGGTGGCTTCCATTACAACAGTGTTACCATGTTCACTGTTACCATGATCACAATGATCTCAAAAGAAACACTTTTTATGGGTTGTATCCCATTAGTCTAAGGACAAGACTTTTCAAATAGATCTTTAAATACATTCTTAAAATTAAATTAAGAAAATAATAAGACGTGCATATTAAAATTAATAACCCATCTTCTAAAATTCATAATAACAATAATAGAGGATTTTTTACATATCCATAATCATTAAATTATGTTGAGAAAACAGAAGTAATAAAAAGTCTAGGAACCAGGAACCATAAAGTTTATTTCATGTATAGCCAAAACTGTTTCATTTCAAGACTGGAAACAGTGAAACAAACTTAAACTGAGAAAACATAATACCTCAATTCCAGGGAAAGGTGTGACCTCGGAGCCAGTTGCTATCAAGATGTTCTTGGTGTTGATAACTTGTTCACTGCCATCACTGACTGTAGCAGTAACCTGGTTCTTGCCTGTGATCTTGCCAAATCCATTCACATGTGAGACCTTTATTAAAAGTGTAAAGCTTATTTAATGTCACACCAAATGCAACTGCAGAAGTACAGTACATTAGGACTGTAGTAGTAACATTTAATGACAACACAGAGATGAAAACATGCACCATCCCATTTTAACAAAACAGAAAAACTGAGTTTGGACTACAGCATAACACTGCTTTTTTAACTCAATGAAATCTGTATTTTGAATTCACAGGAAAAGGATCTCACTTTCACTCAGTTTATAGAATGAAAGTATCAAGTCACATACTGTGAAATTCTCCCTCAGGCATTATTTTATGTATGTTATTTAAACAGGATGATGAACAGCGACAGTGCAACTTTCAGTCTGGCAAAGGATGCTGGAACTGCAGAACTGAACATATACAATGACATAAGACACTGATTTTTTTAAAGACTCATTTACAAGTTTACAAAGAAATGCTCTTCATGTGCCTAAAGAAAATATTTTTTATTTAAAGTATTAAACTACAGTGCACATTAAAACCTGTGCTAGTAAAGTCATTTTAAAAAACATCTGGCTGTTTCAATACTACTGACCTTATTCTGTTTAAACAGATGAGCAATGCCACCTGTCAAAGATTTGACAGCTCCACTCTTTTGTTCCATCATTTTCTCCAGATTGAGCTGGATTCCTGTTACTGTATAAAGAAAAAAAGACATTTAATCACCAATATTACTCGAGGAAGTAAGGTCTTTAAGGTTAAATGACAAAACAACAGCAATAAATAAATGCTTCACTTACTATCAATGCCTCTGCTTGCAAAATCTTTTCCATGTGCCATGTGGTACAGATAAGAGTTGTTTAGCAAAGCCTGAAAAGAATTTTAGAAAATTCTAAAATTGACAAAACTCAATTTTTCTTGTCTCTCAAGCCAATAAATGTAATTCCAAATCTTACACTATAGAAATGTAAAAGCCTCAAACTGTATCGTTAGTTCAAGTTGTACACAACATTCCATTCTATACAAGCAGCACAACTCTATAAGATACAGCTTTATTCTGCAGTAGTCAATAGGTTATTTGTATAACTTAATTTGTCAACACATCCTGCAAGTAAGAACAACTAAAACAAACATATCCAACACTGAATTTTACCTTTGAAGGGATACAGCCAACATTTAAACATGTTCCTCCAAGAGTTTCATTCTTCTCCACACATACTGTCTAGAAAATGAAAATGTTCGAAAATAAAGAACTTGCAGATGAAACCATTTTAAAACACATGAAAATTCTTTAAAAATGTTTTATCCTTACCTTAAAACCAAGTTGTGCTGCTTTAATAGCAGCCACATATCCTCCAGGTCCTGATCCAATTACAGTGACATCAGCATCAACTAGACAGGAAAAGACACAAAACCCCTTTTAAACTACTATAATTTTCTTGAAGATCTGTGAAAACAGACGATCATCAAAAAAGCAGAAACATTTAAGTAAATGTTTTAGGTGATCACTCTAATGATTTCTTATTCAGTGTTGTAAATCTCTTCTATAGGTGTACCCATAAATACACAGTGTAAAACAACATAACCGAGACTTACTTTGTGCTTTATCAGTATATGTTCTCAGGGACAAAGCTGTGATCCCTTGGAGCCTACTTGGGAGATGGTGGGCACGCTGAAATATGAAGACAAAGTATTAGCTTAAATATACAAGTTTTATATTGCCTACAATGATCGATTTTGCTTTGTAAAGCTCAACAAATCCTAATGCTTAACATTGCATTAACATAGTAGTAGGCCAGTATTTATTACTTCAGGTGAGCAGCTGCGTCAGGATGCCTAGGCTGCAAAGGAACAAGTAACAGGTTTATTCCATGCTGAAAAGAGACACAACGTTTCGGCATGCCAGTCTTCTTCGGTTGTCACCCGTTGTGATTCTTTTCTTCTCTTTTCAGCATGGAACCTTTACCTGTTTCTTTACTTACACACTAGCCTATAACCGTAACCTTCTTATGAAGAAAACCTACCTTCGCCCGTTTTCATAATTCATCTGTTCTCATGGAAATAAAACTTATTTCCATTTATGACGCTGATTTATGACTGCAAGAGTGCTATTCCTAGTTTAAAAGACCTAAACTAACCTGTAGTGCTACAATTTGCGTAATTTGCATAATACAAAAACGTACATCAGATTTTCTCACCTGAAAACTAGTATTTAAAAAAGAAATAATATCAATATTGATGATGACTTACTGAAACTCATTCAAATTTAAAAATATGATAATGTACCAACGCCGTAAGTGACGAAATTGTCAGTAATACCTACTACTAGGCCTGTATATTGCAGTTTTAACAAATGAAATATCAAATTATTACAAAGGCTCAAAACTTCAGTAACGATTCAGAATCATAACAACCATTTCTTAGTTAATACAACTCTTTTACCTTTGCTAAAGTGCGATATAACCGATTCCAACTCTGCATTTTCACTGTACGTCCCTTCCCTTCTGGGTAACCTACAGCAAGACTGAAAAGCCAAGGACTCCCTGTTCTGCGCTTGCGCACTGGATTCGTAGAAGGGTGGCTTTTCCTGTCGCCTCCATATGACGTTGAGAAAACCGATTGGTTTCGGCGTTCTAGTTCTACCTAATAATATAGAGATTTTTCTCTGTAGGGAATGAAGGTGCAGCATGAATTCCGCATTTAGAAAGCGCATTGATAGGAGAAAAATTTGGATGATGCCCAATAAATATTGTATAACCAATAAAATTAAGGAGGTTTCATACAAAATAATTAATCAAATTTACCCAGTTAAAACTCTTGTTACCCAACGATTTAAAATTAATATAGATGACAAATGTGTTTTTTGTGACAATAGCCCTGAAACTATTCAGCATTTGTTTTGGTTATGTCCCAGGGTAAAAATGTTCTGGACTAAGTTGCAGAATTATATAAAAAAGAGACGAATATTGATATTTGTTTTTTTATATATATAAAATATATTATGTTAAGTTTCAGCCCCAGTGAAAACAATATAAAAATGTATTTTGTAATAAATTTATTTTATTGGCACGTTATCACATACATAAAATGAAGTGGTCTGGGAGGTACCCTGTGTTTGAGCATTTTAAAATGGAAGTAAAGGGGTATTTGCAGACTATTTCGAAATGCAAAAATATGAAAGCGGTGCGGACATATTTTTTAAAATTTGTTTATACTTTTTTCATAACTTGAATTGATGTAGTAGTATGTACCCCTGACGATAGTTTTGTTTGGAATTGTTATATGTACTCTTGTTTGTATTGTAATGTTTGTTCTTTTGTTAAGCATAAATAATAATAAGAGTCCGGGACCTGGAAGCGCCTGGTCCCGTTAAGGTTAAAAAAAAAGAAGGTGCAGCATTCTAATGCCTTATTTTAACGTGCGAGTACGATTCAGAAATATTTATTTTTTAGACTTCTTTCTTAAAAATGAAAATTAAAGTGAAAATTAAAGTGAATGTTTTAAAAATGATCAGTTAGGACTTCTATGAATATGTCCTAAATTTCTATATAGTTACGATACAGTCAACGTTTTAGTAAAACTGTAAAAAAATATTTTGTGTTAATAAGCATAACTTATAAACTTTTTATCTGGAATAATTATATGAAATATAAAATCTTTCTCGTCGAAAAAAATTAGATGCTACTGATACGGTAGCTTCTTCCAATGGGAACTTTTTCAGTCACGCAAGTTTGTATTCCCTGTCATAATAAATATCGTATTGTTGCCATACATTTTTCCATCAAAATGCAATAAAATCTGAATTGGTTCTATCTTCATAATGCCATCTTTACAGTTTTACTGTGTTGCAGAAGATTGTCTTTTTTAGTTGAACAATGGGATACACTTGATTCGAAGTTCCAGGGCCTTTTGTTTGATTATGATTCTATGTGGAGTTTGTATGTTCTCTTCATATTTGAAGGAGTTCTCCCCAGGTTTTTTTTGAATGGTCCAAAACCATGCCCGGAGAGGTATTTCTAAATTATCCCCATATGCATGTGTGTCCCACCTTGCATCCTGTGTGGATATTACAGTAAACTAACTGGTGGAAAGGTTTCTTTGTGGAATCAAAGACTACTGGACTCTGCTGTCCAGGAATTGCTTTTCTAACTTCAGCTGACAGCCCACGACTGCATGAGATTGAGGAGTTGTGAATCTAGAGTGAGTCTCATCACTATGTTCTGGTTCAGCTCTGAGGTATTCTTGTGTTCTCAATTTACATTAGAGTGCTTCCATGCTGTTTGCCGGAGAGTCACTATGTGAATTATCCTTTGAATCCCACAAGGGAGAAAAGCAGCACAAGGGGGCCCAATGGGTGAGGAAGAGTCTGCATGTTCTGTTTGCTTTTGGGGAATGTAGTCACTCTCTTGTTCATACCAGCTGTAGCATTACACTCATCTGTCAAGAATGTATGAGTGGGAGATTTGTCTGCTAATAAATAAGCAGTAAAATAATTTAGCAACTACAGTGTGGAGCTGGGGCTCATCAGTATAGAGTATCCATCCCCTGACTGTGTTTACTAAAGTAAATCAAAAACTTAATAAAGTTTATTTATATGAATACTTAAAATTAGTCAAAAGAGATTAAATAATTTTCAAAATTATTCTCAATAAATTGTCCTTTATATAATGTATTATTTCAAGATTTCTTAATGGAAACCTTCATGTTATCATTGCATACATTTTCAGATTTATATCTGCAGTATAACATAGCAGGCACTCAGGCAAACTTTATATCGGTTATGAGATTGGTATTCCCCTGTGACCTTTAGGCCAGCTTTGCTCAAATTGCAGGAATGGTCTAATCTAGGCAGTGTCTTAGTATCTGAATAGTATGTTGCATCTTCTATTTCTTGATGATTGAGTAAACTATCCTAGACTATTGTGTATGACTTTAATATTTTTGTATAGTACTCCTGATCTATGCTTTTCAATAATTTACAATTACCTGTTTTGAAAGCTCCTACAGTATGTGTTCATGTTTGAATTTTTGCTTGAAATGTGCTATCCGACCACAGAGCTTTAGAGAGACTGGTGTTGTTATTCTGAAATCATAAAAACAACCACTATTTAATCAAGGCACTTCATAAAACATTTGTGCTTGAGTGAAGTGCCCTGAACAATAACATAGTGTTGCAATGTTGTATTTTTTTTATTTAAGTATCTTATTGCACAGACAGAGGCCAATCAAGTAATTGTTGGCTCATTAAAGTTATTGAGTGCACTTCAATTAATTTAGGTTTGCCTCAGCATGGGGTTTCAATACTTATGCAATAAGACTTTTCAATTATTTTCATATTAATTATCAATTTATTTATTTTCTTCTTTTTGCTTTGAATGTGTGGTGTAGTTGTGTATATAACAAATATTAATCACTACAGTATTTTAGTGTCATAACTGTGAGCTTTAATGAAAGAAAATTTGAAAGCTGTGCGAAGAAAATGTGCAAGGGTCTGGATTCTTTCATAAGGACTGTAATATTTGACAGCAAGGGAAAAAATTGAGTATTGAGCATAGAAATCATTTTAGAGACACTGTAAAATTAAATTGTTATTGTAATTTGGTGGTATTATTTATACTAACAAAGTAATTCTTTGTAACCACCTAAGAACATATTATTTTAAAAATCCTAACAGTTATACAATTGTTTTCTACACAAAATAGCCCTACCTATTAAAACTAACTGAGAATTTGCTGCTTTAAAACTATGGACACATTTGATTTACCCTAGTTACTGATATACAGTAGCTTCTGTAGAATACATGGAAATACAGTATATTGACTTCACATATGAGCAATGAAAGTTAGAGCAATGACATTATAATTAGAAGAATAAAGCATAGTAGAGCATCTTTAAATCTGAAGGTTTTACCCTTTGTGTTCCTGTTGTGACAGCAACATTACCACCTTGTAGGTAGATCTCTGAAGCTAAGCAAGACTGAGCCTGATTAGTACTGGTATGAGAGACCTCTAAGCAGACCATGCTGATACTGTAATGATGTTAGCTAAACAGTAGGTGGCACTCTCTCCTCTGGTACAGAATGTCCAAACCAATGTCCCATTACGGTCACAGTGGGCCCTTCTATAGAAAGAGCTGTCTTTAAAATGAAACACTAAACTGAAATCTTGGTCATTAAAGATCCTTTAGTGTGGTTTGTAACAGGAATAGTGTCAATCTGGTCTTCCTAAAGTTAGATTTTAATTCAATTGGTGAAGTAGCTACTTGTTCCTTCACCTGATCTGCTGTGAAATGGGGCTGCTAGAACAGAATTGCTGCCATGCAGCAATAATGGATATATAATGGTATAATGGTGGATATAATGTGTCCCCTCCTATGTGTGAATTGCTTTATACTGTACAAATGCCAGCAATTATTTTTATTCCATTATTTTTAGTTTACACACATATACTAAAGTAATGTTTTAGAGATAAGGTTATTTTTCTTTAATGCATTAAAATGTCTAGCATGCACACATTGCTGCTTATGAAATTCTGTGATGGCTTTCACTGAAGCCTGAGAGGAATAGTATTCTCACAAAAAGAGAAAACATACAGTACATCCAGTCTAGGATATACTGTAGTATATTGGCAAAAAATACAGATAGTTAAGGTGAGCTTCAGGTATGAACACCTGAAGAAGGCTCCACAGCCAAAACGTTGTGTTTTGTTTCTTCTCTTTTCAGCATGGAATAAATCTATTACTTGTTCCTTTGCAGCCTACGCATGCTGACGCAGGTACCCACCTGAACTACTTCTAGTAATAATTACTTACACTTATATGGCGCTTTTCTGGACTCTCCACTCAAAGCACTTTACAGGTAACCACCACCAATGTGCAGCATCCACCTCGATGATGCAACAGCAGCCATAGTGCACCAGAACACTCACCACACATCAGCTATCAGTGGGGAGGAGAACAGAGAACAACTCATAGATGGGGATTATTAGGAGGCCATGATTGGTGAGGGCCAATGGGAAATTTGGCTAGGACATCAGGGTTACACCCCTACTCTTTTTGAGAAACACCCTGGGATTTTTAATGACCACAGAAAGTCAGGACCTCAGTTTTACATCTCATCCAAAGGACAGCGCCTGTTTACAATATAGTGTCCCAGTCACTATAGTGGGGCATTAGGACCCACATGGACCGCAGGGTGAGCGCCCCCTGCTGGCCCCACTAACCCCCCTTCCAGCAGCAACCTTAGTTTTTCCCCAGAGGTCTCCCATCCAGGTACTGCCCAGGCTCACACCTGTATAGCTTCAGTGGGTTGCCAGCTGTGAGTTGCAGTGTAATATGGCTGCTGGCTGGTTACTTATCTACATTTGTAGTAAGTTAATTTCTTTCTTGGTCTCTACATTCATGTATGTTTGTTTGTTTTTTTTTGTGTAATGATGTGTTTTGTTTTTACTTCAGTTGATTTATGGTACCAGTTCTTTTTTCTTCAGCATGAGAAGTGCTTGTTCTATTGTATTTAATTCTGCAGACTGACCTCATTTGTCCTTCTAATGAACTCC